ACCCCCGCAGCTTTAGAAGGGGGAACCACCACCTGGTTTTAGCAGAGATCCTGGCAACTCAGCCGAGGGTGCCGGGAACCCAGGGAGGTCTCCCAGTCGAGAAGGAGGACTAACTAAGAACCAGAGGACTGCCTGAGCCATGGACTTCGTTTTCCTTTCCCTGAGATACGGTACTCTGGACTGGGCAAAGGGGGAAGGAAGGAAGGACTGTGTGTGTTTGTGGGTGTTTTGGGGGACTTTGGGATTTTTGATAAAGACATTAGGTCACTACTTTAAGTTTGTATAGCATTAAATAAACATTTCCTTTCCTTTTCACGAATCTCTGGCATTGAGAGACGTCTTTCCTCTGGCAGCGGACATAACGGACCCGGGGCCTTCTTTCAATAATAGTATATTGTCTCAGGCCCCCCCTTGTTCTGTTCTGTAACACCCTGACTAGGAATCAAACTGGCGACCCTTTGGTTTGCAGGCCACATTCAATCCACTAAGCTACAGAAACCAGGGCTTACAGAAGTCCCTTTAACATTTCACAATAAGGGCTTGGTAATGATGAACTCCTTTAACTTGACTCTATCTGGGAAGCTCTTTATCTGCCCTTCCATTCTAAATGATAGCTTTGCTGAATAGAGTAATCTTGGATGTAGGTCCTTGCCTTTCATGACTTCATATGTTTCCAGTCCTTTCTTGCCTGTAGGTTTCTTTTCAGAAATCAGCTCATAGTTTTATGAGAACTCCTTCATAGGTAACTGTCTCCTTTTCTCTAGCTGCTTTTAAGATTCTCTCCTTATCTTTGATCTTGGCTAATGTAATTATGATGTACTTTAGTGTGTTCCTCCTTGAGTCCAATTTCTTTGGGACTCTCTGGGCTTCCTGGACTTCCTGGAAGTCTATTTCCTTTGCCAGATTGGGGAAGTTCTCCTTCATTATTTGTTCAAATAAGTTTTCCATTTCTTGTTCTTCCTCTTCTCCTTCTGGCACCCCTATGATTCAGATGTTGAAGCATTTAAATTTGTCCCAGAAGTTCCTCAGCCTCTCATTTTTTTTTTGAATTAATATTTCTTCATTCTGTTCTGGTTGGATGTTTATTTCTTCCTTTTGTTCCAAATAATTGATATGAGTCCTGGTTCCCTTTCCTTAACTGTTGGTTCCCTGTATATCTTGCTTTATTTCACTTCATGTAGCCCTCACTTCTTCCTTCATTTTGCAACTGACCTCAATCAGTCTGTGAGCATCCTGGTTACCAGTTTTTTCAACTCTGCATCAGATAGGTTGTCTATCTCCTCATCATTTAGCTATTTTTCTGGAGTTTTGATATATTCTTTCATTTGGGCCATATTTCTTTCTCTCAGCATGCCTATTATGTTGTTAGGGGGCAGGGCCTCTCACCAAGGTGGAGAAACCATCCTTGCTGCATTGTGGCACTCTGTGGGGGAGGGGTCAGAGAGGGAACAATGCCACTTACTTGCTCTGCTCTAGGCCCACTCTCCAACGAACTCTTCTGAGAGATTGGGAGTTTCTCCCGCCTTCACAACCCCCACAGTATTTTACAGCTACAGGTTTTGAGTCTTTAGTTTCCCAGTCAGCCAGCCCCTCCTCGCCCGCAGAAAGCATCTTAGCAGAAAGTCCCTAGGTGGTTAAGCAGTGGCTTCTCTTTTAGCAGAAGCCTCCCTCATGGTCTTGGGGACAGCTCATCACAGACCATCCTAAAGCTTGCACACGAGGTGCAGTGGCCAAAGGGAATTTTATTTAGAGAAAAGAAATTCAGCAACTTAGCATTAGATAAGAGGAAAATTACAATAGTCTAAAATCCCGTGAGGAACACTTCCCAGGGCCACTGATGGCTTCTGGGGGAGGACCGAGTTCAAACAGAGTCCAAGTCCACTGCCTCCATCCTGCCAGTCAGACCCAATGGCAGATCTTCCCCAGCCAGCAGAGGCCTTACAGAAAATGTCTGTGGACAGCTCCTGAGCCAGGTAGGGATGAGCTATTTCAGGGAAGTGTCTTCTACACAGAGCTGCCGGGGCCAGCGGCAGCCCCTGGCAGAGAGGTTCTGTGACCCCACAGTTAGACATGTTCCTCTCGGGGCTTTGCTTCTACTGTGACTGTCAAGGAGGTAGCGATTCTCCCCATAGTAGGGGTGTGAGCTCTTGTCCTCAGCAGGTCACAGACACGTGAACAAAGATTCACAAATCCACAAGAAAACAGAGATTGAAGCTGTTTGGAACAAGGCGTGAGCACAGAGTGACCTTCTGAATGCAGAATTGGTGAAGTCACAGAGGAGTGGCCAAGCCAACTAGGAGACAAAAGAGGAATTTCAGAGCCAAGATAGGAAAGCAAGTGTGGAGGAAAAAGCAGGTGTATGGGACCAGGACTTTTAGGGTTGACACTTGTCTGCCCCATCTGGGAAGGGGAGCAGTTTAGTGTAGTGGAGAGTAGGATGAGTTAGAAAAGTGATGGGAAATGAGGTTGGAGAGCAGCCATTTCTTAGTGAAGGTTTCTTTTCATTTTGTTTTGTTTTGTTTTTTAAGTAGCAACACAGACGCATTTTATTTTAAAAAATTCTTATCAGTCAATGATAAGCACAGATATTTCTGTAACTATTGAATATTCAAGTGTAAGTTTCAGTTCACCCATGTGTCATTCTGGCACACAGTTCAATATTTAAGTCACAATTGTACTAGATTATTCTATTGCTGATATCATCGCTTGGGAGAAATTTTTAGTCATTAATACACTAACATTTTCCTTAATATCTTGGCAATGAATTCAATACAGATTTTTAAAGGCAAAGGAAAAATGACAGGACAATATAATGTTCTTGGTAAAACAACAGAGCATAAACTTGAGATTTCATTCTAGTTTTGTGGGGTTTTTTTACATGTTGGCCAAGTTATTAATGGAATTTATAAGGTCAAATTGTTTTATCAAGCCACCATAGAAGAACTTAAATTATGCTGACCTCAAATTTACTTTAATAATAAAATAAGGCCCTGGCTGGTGTAGCCCAGTGGGTTGAGCACCAGCCTGCAAACCCAAAGGTCACCAGTTCAATTCCCAGTCAGGGCACATGCCTGGGTTCTGTGCCAGGTCCCCAGTTAGTTAGGGAGGAGTGTGTGAGAGCCAGCCAGTCAACATTTCTCTCCCTCTCTTTCTCTCTCTCCCCCTCTCTCTAAAAACAAATAAAATACTTTTTTAAAAAAAGAAATTTGTTCATTTTCTTCTTTTATTTATTTATTTTTTTTAGAGAGAGGGGAAGGAAGGGAGAAGAGAGGAAGAGAAACATCAATGTGTGGTTGCCTGTCATGTGGCCCCAACTGGGGACCTGGCCTGCGACCCAGGCATGTGCCCTGACTGGGAATCAAACTGGTAACCTTTTGATTTGCAGCCAACGCTCAAACCACTGAGCTGCACCAGCCAGAGCCATTTTCCTTGTTTATGAATCTATGAAATAGTTATCAAATTTTGTATTTCATATTAATATAATGCCCCAGTACTTAGTTTGAAGTTTCCATCTAAAAAGAAGTGATGTTATTTTAATGTCTGATCCCAATAGCTAATTTTAGCAAGAATTATGGCATTATCTCTTTTTGCTTCTAAAAGAATCATTAAAGAATTTTTTTTGGCCCTGGCTGTTGTGGTTCAGTGAGTTGAGCATCAGCCTGTGAACCAAAAGATCGCAGGTTCGGTTCTCAGTCAGAGCATATGCCTGGGTTGCAGGCCAGGTCCCCAGTAGGAGGTGCATGAGAGGCAACCACACATCGATGTTTCTCTCCTCTCTAAAAAATATAAATAAATAGAATATTTTAAAAAAAGAAATTTTGGGGAAAGATAAAACACTCACATGGTACAAAAAAACACTGTAAGGGAAATTCTCTTCCACCCCAGTCTCCCAACCTCTCAGATCCCCTCTCTGGAGGCACTAAATATCACATCACCAATTTCTTGTGAATCCTCCTGGAAGTGGAGATAATCTGTGAATGAGCAGATAGCACACACACCACACATTTAGATGCATGTATGTATATATGTATATATTCACCTTTCTTTACACAAGTGGTAGAACATTGTACCCACTAATCTATACCTTGTTCTATTGGGTTTAGCAGATACTGTCAAAGATTTCCAAAGTGGCTATATCAACTTACACTTTCACCAGTAATATTTGGTATTATGTATCTTCTTGTTCATTCATTCATTCATATTATTATTGACTCTCAGATTTTCTATTTTGTTCAATGAGTTATAATCTATACCCTAACAGGGTATAGTTTATACCCTATATGCTTATAGTTTTATTGAGGTACCATTATGTATAAGAATGGGTACATATTTGCAGTGTTTAACCTGATGAGTTTTGAACACCTGTAAAACCATCACTACAATCAAGATAGTGAACATGTCTATCAACCATGAAAGTTTCCTTGTGCTCTTTGTGACCCATTCTTCTCTCTTCCATCCCCATCCTCAGGTAATCACTGGTGTACTCTGTCATAAGAGGTGACATTTTGTAGAATTTTATATAAATGGAATCCTACACCATGTACTTTTTTTCTCTGGCTTATTTCACTCACCATGATTGTTTGGAGATTCATCCATGTTGTTGGAATATATCAATAGCACCTTTAATTACTGAGTAACAGCATGTGTGTGGATGTACCACAGATTATTTATCCATTCAGCTGTTGATAGACATTTGGGTTGTTTCCAGTTTTTGTCTATCACAAATAAAGTTGTTCCCATAGCGAAGTACCCTCAGCCTTCCTTCGGAGACCATACCCATGTGCCTCCAGGATCTGGTCACAGAAGTCAGGATAGTGTATCGCTGCCAGGCCCCTGACCCTCCCGCCCACTACCACCTTTGTCCTGAGCTTGAGATGTGCAGAGAGAATCGGGCCTCTCCTGAAGACCATGGGCATGAGGGAGCAGAACCCAGCAAAGAGACCAGAGGTTTGTTCTCATTGCAGGCCAGCACTCAACCCACTAAGCCACACTAGCCAGGGTTGGTTCTCAAATATTTTTTTAATAAATAAACAAAATCCGCTAGACTGATGCAGCAAACTAAGGTAGAGGAGAAAGGAAATTAGGGAGGTAAGAGCCCCTGAATCAGCAATGCAACCTCCTCCCCAACCCTATGGGCTAAGGCACTTTTGGGGAGATAGGTCCTTGGGGTCCTGCTACACTGGGTGAACCGGAGCGGGAGAGATTAGGGTCTCCTCTCCTAACCCCTGCATCAGGACATAGCTGCCCTTCTCACCCTCTCCTACAACCCCATCCCTGATTTACCCCTCTCATCTCACAGCATTCTAAAGGGAGGTTCGGGCATGCTCCTCCTGGAGGGAGTGGTCTATGCCCCTGAGAAAACAGATCCTGCAAAATCCTGGTGGGACAACAGCAGCCCACTCTACCATCTTCATCCCGAGGAGCCGTCTCTGGGGAAGGGATGGAGGGGACACATAGGCCAGGCTGGGACAGGGGAAGCTAGACAGTGCCTGGCGCAGGGTGACCATCAGAGCCCAGCTCAGGGTGCCCGTCAGCAGCCAGGATGGGGTGTGCGTCGGGACCCTCCCTCCGGGGGCTGCCCCAGTTGCTCCTCAGAATGGTGCCCGTCTTTTCCTCCTTGAACTGCTGTCGGTCTTCCCGAGGGATCTTCACCGCATGGTACTGGGGCACGGTGGCCTCAGGGTACCGCGCCCGCTTAAAGAATCCCATCTGGAAGAACACCAGGACAGACATGAGGACTGAGGTCCCTGGAGCAGATGCCCAGCATAGCCCAGCTCCCAGCTCCACCACCCTGGGACAGAAAGAAGCAAATGCTGCAGAAAGGAGATGGGTTGGACAGCATCTAGTGCAGTAAGTAGCCCCCACAGGTGCCACTGTCAGGGTCTCATTTACAGCAAGAGAAAGACCAGGAGGGGGCCCAAGATGCAAGGCCAAGGACATCTCCCTTGGCACCTGAAAGAGGGGACTGAAGATGGAACATCAGGACTGCTGGCCCCAAAGTTTCCACCAGCCCAAGCATTTTAGGGGACCCAACAGCATTGCCTAGAGCACAAATAAGATCTGAGGGAAAACATGGCTTCCTAGAGCCCTGCATACTCCAAAATGAGTCCTCTCAAGCCTCATACACACACACCCTGTGTACTTAAACACTGGGCAGCATCCCCTCAGGGCAGAGTTTTCTATCCGTGAATATGATGGCCTCGCCCCTTCCTAAATCATGAACATGCTGGTCTGGACAAAGTGGAAATGTGCCCCTTGCACACTCACACTCAGGACTGCCAGAGACTCCCACATGCTCAGACTGCATAGTACCTCCTTACACATTTGTCTCTGCACACTCGTGCCCAAGGAAAGACATGCATGCACCTCCCTGTACTCCACATGCTCACACTCCAAGATCCCACCCAACCCTCTGTGCACGCTCCAGGCTGTATATCCTCACTCTCATCAGCTCACCCTTATAACTGTCTTCCACCTGAGTTCCCAGGACTCACCCCACCCTCATGCAATCTCATTTCTTCACCCTGAATGTTCTGGGTCCCCTGAAGGCTGGGCACTCTACTAACACTCACACACAAACATACCCCCATACACACACATGCACACAAACAAAAATTACCCCACAGTCCCTGGACCCCCAGCTTCCACAGCTGAGGGCTGCACGGCCAGATGGGCCCGGTGATAGTTAGTGGGGAAAGATGAGTTCTGGCTGCTCCGACGGAAGAAGCCACACTGAGATGTCAAGAGGGGAGGGGAGCAAATAAGAGGGAGATGGGAAGACTAAGGAAAGACAGGGCCTTATCTCTGCTCTGCCCCCCTTCTGTAGGAGCAGGGAGCAGGGATCCCAGAGCCAGTTTCACAAAGGCATCAATCTTCTCCAAGAACAACAGGGGTCCCAACAGTCTGGATGCTAGTCCAGAGTCAAAGGGTGTGTCTGGTCTGTAGTTGGTTGGGGGTGGGGTGGGAGGGTATCCTCCACAGAGCCCCAAGGACAGCATGGTTCCCCATAGCCGAGCTGTGGCCTGGGATTCCTGGCATGACCACAGGTGATGAATGGGATACCCTGCGCCGAGTGTGCTTTTGTGTGGACGCCCAATTCAAGTGATTCTGCCCATACTCTGTTTACAAGAACGGTCCCATGGAGAATCTGGTACACACAAGGTCTGAGTTCAGTCTTGGAGGCAGGTTCCTGGGGGTAGTTCTCCACACAACAGTGGAGTAGGGGCCTGTGTGGCCCCGGTGGCCTTCCCAGCATTACCCTGTCACATTCTAGTTAAATAGACCACACTTCCCTGCCTCCACGAGTCGGCCTCCCGTGGTCCTTCTGGAAGGCCCAGACCTCACCCACCTCATCTCCCACATCCAGATCCTACTACCACACCTTCTTCTAAGGCCCAGCTCTCAAGCCATCCCTCCTCTGAACTGCCACTACACTTTCTTGACTTAGTACCTTCTGACTACAAGACCCCCCTCCCCCACTGGACTACCAAATCCCTGAGGACAAGATCTGTATTAACTTATCTCTAAAATGTCCAGGACCCGACAGAGTCCCTGGTACAGGCAAGGTAAGTGCTCAGTACAGATGCTGAGTAAATGAGGGAGTGGGTGAGTGAGAACCACAGCATGAAAGGCCACCTGCTTGACAGGGAAGCCCAGCCCCCACTGGCCCCACCCTCCCCAAGCCTCACCTTCCACATCAGCAGCACCAGCAGCGCCAGCACCAGCAGCCCTGCCAGTACAGCCAGGAGGATGACCCACCAGGGGACTCCCTCTGCTACCACGGCCACCGGATCCAAGTACACCATCACTGGGATCTGGGGAGCAAAGAGTTAATGGAGCAAGAGCTCCAGCAGGAGAGAAGAGCTCCCCCACCCTCACCTCCCAGCCCTGCAGCTCACCACTGTGGAGGCATCTCTGAGTAGCAGGTTCTTGATGGAGGACTTCACGGTGATGTTGGCTCTAACAATCACTTCCAGGGACTTCACAGCTGAGTACTCCTAAGAGAGCAGGAAAGCAGGCCCGCCTCCTAAATGCTCTCATCCCCTCACCTCCACCCAGCTCCAAAATTATAAATGGAATGGCACCCCACACAGAGGGTGTTTCTGCCCATCTGGGGTTAAGAGTGTGCTGCATTTGGAAAGGAAGGAGGTAGAAGGAGAGGTCCTAGAGGGGCTGCTGGGGATGAGGATGCCCAGCCTGCACCTCAGCAGTGCTCTCACCTCCAGGAAGGTGCTGTTCCAGAGGCGGCCCCAGACATGCAGCACAGCTGCTCGGTCAAAGCTGTAGAGTGGGCAGCTGAACAACACGCAATTGGCCGTGCCCCGGTCACAGTCCTGGGCACCAAGACAGACAGGGATATGAGCTGCTAAGCCTGCCCAGGGTCCAGCATCCTCACAAATGCGGTCACATGGACACAGTCTTCCCAGAGCCCTCATCCATCCTTCCATGAGCCCCCACACCTTGGACCCCTTTTCTCCTTGCTCCTCACTCATATCTCTATTTTCCTCAGCAGCCTAAAACTTCCCTCCTCCAGAAAGTCTTCCCAAACTAACTTTGTGGTCCAACATAGCAGCCTACCCCAAATCTGGGCTATTGGCTTTGAAATGCATGAGGAGCTGGGAGGATGGCTCTTACTTCACAGCAGCAAGTAAAATAGCTGCCCCTACTCGATGCTGATGTTACCTAATGTTGTTCCTATTCATTGAGCACCTACTACCTGCCAGTACTTAGCTCATTTAAGCTTTACAACTATCCTCCAAGGTGCATATTATTATCATCCTCAGTTTTCAAATTAGGAAATTGAGGCTCAAAGAGACCAGGTGACCTACCTTAGGTCCCAAAGCTAGCAAAGCTAGTAAGTGCGAAGCACGTATTTAAACCCAGTCCCATACCGGGCAAAGCCATACTCCTACACTAAGTCCAAACTCACTGATAAAGGAGGAGCTGCTCCAGGAGCTGCTGGGGAAGGGGACTCAGGCCCTGCTCCTTCCGGGCCTGACCTATATCCATTTGACCTAATCCCACCTAATGATCCATTTGCCTAAAAACTATGTTACATTCATCACATTTCATAGAAGAACAGCTTGAGAGTGTTTGAATTCTGTGAGTTGTCTTTTATTTTACCACTTTTGAGCAAATCAAGTACCCTTGGTCAATTGTCTAAAAGCAAGACCTTCTGCCTTAATTTGAAGCCAAAGAATTAATTTCAAAGTTCTTTGTAAAAAAAAAGGGAGCTCTGCCCTGGCTGGTGTGGCTTGGTGGATTGAGTGCTCTCCTGCAAACTGAAAGGTTGCTGGTTAGTTTCCCAGTCGGGGCATATGCCTGGGTTGCCACCTAGGTCAGGTCCCCACTAGGGGGCGTGCAAGAGGCAACCAGTTGATGGATCGCTCATGCATGCATCAATATGTTTCTCTCCCTCTCTCTAAAAAAAATTAATAAAAATCTTTTTTTTTAAGTAGGGAGTTCTTTCAGAGGAAATTAATCATGTGGAGAAGGTGAGACTCTCCATACAACAGGGAAAAACAGCAATTACACAGGTTCACCTTGCACCCAGGCACCTTCGTTTGCCTCCCGCCTGCTCTCCTGCCTCCCACGCGGGAGGGACAGGGTGTGACAGTAGAGTTCCCTCCCAGACAGATGGCGCCAGAGCTGGCCCGACTGCTTACAATCCCCTGCAGTCTCTGCAACTCCTTGCCTCTATTGCCCAGGCATATCCACACCTGCGTTTCACCTCCTGGAAACCAGCCAAATAGCCCCTTAATCTGTGTTCCCTCCACACTCTCATGCCAGCACCATTCTCAAAGGGTGAGCACAGAGCATATGCCAATTTGCTCCATGAATCCACTTAAATAACAAAACTAAATAAAACAAGCAGGAAATGGGGGGCAAAACTGATCAAAAGGGACAGACTCAATGAACCACACATAACAGACTACAATTAGAACTTATTAAAACTTAAAATGTTTTTGACATTGTAAAAATCAAACAGGTTTTCTTACACAGATTGACTTTTTTGTCGTAAAAGCATTCAAAAGAGCAACAAACAGATCTCAAAGGTAGCTAAAACCACCCCACTGGTACAAAACGTTTTCTTTGGTGTAAAGTGAGGAGATTCGAATGCACAGGTAACTGAACGCTGAACTCTGGAGGAAGCACTTGCTGGGGGTGGGGCGGGGGGGGGGGTGGACTTCTGGTGTCAGCAGCTGCTTCACAGGTGTGATGTGAACTGTCCATCACACCTCTCAGAAGGCCAGCCCCCCTGGACAACCTCCTCACTGAATGAAGCTCCATGCCCCCAGCATCCTCTCTCACCCCACCACACACCCCCATTCTGCCTGCACCTCACTTGCCCTGCCCTCACCAGGGTGATGTTCTTCTTCTTCTCAGCAGAGGACACGGGCCACCAGGACGTGCTAGGCTCCCGCTGCTCAGGAGGCTCCTGCTGCTCTTGCTGCTCCAGCTCTCGACGCCTCCTGTCCCTGCTGTCCACATCCTGGATGTGGGGATGGGGGTCCATTGAGTATCCCTCCAAACTTAACCACCCTGAGATGGCATCTCCTCCCAGCCGCCTTCCTCCTGGCCCCCACTCACCCACACATGCCCACTCCACGATGCCCTTCCCACAGTCTAACGCCCCCCACCCTGCTTCAGCAGCCTGGCTCCCACTCTGCCAAAGCCTCACCAGGTGGAGGATGTTGGGCCTGGGGGAACAAAGCCCCTTCTGCCCAGGCCCCTGCCCGCCCTCCAGCTCCACCCGCATGGGGTACAGCAGCCACTTCCCGTTGGCAATCTCGTGGGGCCACATGATGTTGAGGAAGGCAGAGCCAAGGGTGTTGAGTGACTGGCCCTGGTTGGAGACCTGTGGGCACAGAGAGTGTGAAGGGAGGGAGCAGCTCAGTTTCTGAGTGGCTCTGAATCCAGAGTTGGAGAGGACAGGGTTGAGGGGAGGGCCTCAGGAAGCACAGTTTCGACAAAGACTCAGGACCCCAGACCCCGCCAGGCACCATTCTCCACCTGTGTCAAATCCAGGAAAACCTGGAGATATCACTGGGTGGTGTGGGGAAGCCCCAGTGGAGCCAGAGCAGAGTTCTGGGGAGAGACATCAGCCCCTCCCACCATGTTCTCACACCCCAGCCAAGGCCCCAGACAGAGAAGCTTCCCTGGGCTCTCATAGCCTCCCCAGACCATCAGGTGAGATTTTCAGCCAACGACAATGAGGAAATAGTCAGATGAGGTCCCTGCACAAATACCTGCCCACAGCTGAGGTACATCAGCAGGGGGAGGCCTTGAACTCACCATATAGTAGAAGAGCCCCGTCCCATGGGCCACGTCTCAGCCTCTCCTCTGCACCAGGAAGGGAAGGAGACCATGAGGGACCACATACCAGGACACTTACCGTGACCTCATACTTGACCTTGCTGCCTACATCCCGTTCAGATCGCATGGCACTTTCACCCCGCACAACGCCAGAGAAGAAGAGCTGCTGGGGAATGGCCACCCTAGAGAACAGGGGTCAAAATGGGAACTGATGAAGCCTGGGACCTGATGGAGGGTCAGAGGCAGAGCCCAGGCCTGGGTTTGAGTGTGGCAATGCCCACCCCTCCAGTGCAGGCCCACTGGGACAGGGCTCACCCCGTGATGGACAGCGGCAGCTCAATGAAGACACGGGCCCGAGCAGAGACTGGATGTAGCTCCTGCTCGCTGATCCTGGTATGCGGGCAAAGGCAGGAGTGGGCAGCAGGCTAAGGCAATGCCTCAAAGGGTCAGCCCCTTCTAGGTGGACATCAATTCCACTGCCCCCAACCTTATCCCACACCAGCCCCACCAGGCTTACGTGGCCAGCAGCAGCTCCACCTCCAACTCCGTAGTCTCAATGGTGATCCCTGAGGTGCTGAGGATGAGGTAGAAGGTGATCTAGGCCAAGGGTGGAGCAAGATTAGAGTCAAGGGAGGTCACAGGCTTGAGGAAGGCCCGGGGTTAGAGGTCACTTAGATAGGGGTAAGGGCAGACGTGCCAACCTGGGCACCTCTCTTCATAGGGTTCCCCAGCTCACACTCGACATGGGAGGCATTCTCATTGGACACGCACAGTGGCTTCTCCTGGAGTGGGGAGGGAAGGAGAGGTCAGTTCGGATTATTGGAAACCCCCAAGATCATGCTCCCCTGCCCAGGTCCTCACCACAGAGTCCAGGGCCCGCACTCCTGAGTAGTGCAGAGAGGCTGGGAGGCTGACCAGGAGCTGTGCTTCATGGGCATCATCCCCATCAGCCTGGGGCTGTGCTGGGTCCGAGGGCAGATTAGTGACCTTCAGCTCCAGGCCAATGAATGGCTGCCCACTCAACGCAAACAGGGCTGTTGTCCCATCGGCATCCCTGAAGGGTCAGATCCCACTCACTCCAAGATCAGAACACCTTCCCCTGTCCTGCCTACTCCTGCCTCCCCCACCCACCGCCCCCCAGTGAACGCCACTGGCCTCTACTCCCTGAGCCTCTGCTCTCACCAGGCCAAGCCTCAGGTCTTCCCCATGTTCCAGACATCCACACTGGGAGTCAGGGGACCTCCATTCTGGCCCCGGCCCCACCACTGACTGACCTTGGACAAGTAACTTAACCTCTCTAGGCCTCTGTTCTCCATTTATGAAGTGGGACTGATAATAATTCCTACCTCACGGGGCTGTGAAGACTAAACAGTGAGATGTACTTAAATTGCACAATATTATATGTGGGGTAAAGGATTGTTATTCCTTGCCAGGGGAGCTCTGGCAGTGATGGCCCCATCACTGACCCCTATCTGCAGTCTTCTGAATTTTCAGCAGATCCTCCCCAGCCTTCCATCCTCCTCTGCAGGCCCCACCCCTCCCTCTGCCTGGCTTCCTGAGAAGCTTCCTTCCATTCCTTGAACTCCTGCCTTCCCACTCCACCGGCTCCCTCACCCCCCTCACATGGGCAGAGGCTGGAACTCCATGTCGCTGACCCGGGCACAGAAGCGGGCATGGACCAGCTGTAGATTGCTCTGACAGATCTTATCTTCACCACAGCCTTGCTTCAGGAAGTGGATCTGGGGAGGGATTTGAGGAGAGGGTCATTCCTAGGGGGTGAGCAACGGGGCAACTGCCACCAAAGCATATGGTGGGGTAGAGCATCACAGGACTGCACAACCTGGGTTCAATCCCCAGATCTGCTGCTTACTGGCTGTGTGATATTGAGCTGGTCACTTAACCACTCTGAGCTGTGTCCTCACCAGTAAAATGATGGGAGTGTTATGATGCCATGATAGGGACTAGCAGGCTGGTCCACAGCAAGACCACATTTCCCTGGACTTCCTTGCATGTAACTGAGTTCCAGATCCAGAAGGTGGAGAGAAAGTGGAGTGCTACTTCCAGACTGGCCGTGAGAACCACATAAGGAGCTTCATGCTCCCCTCTCCCGGGCGAACAGGACAGGCATGGTCTTAGTACTGAGGAGGCCACATTTATAGACAGCAGACCTCTATCAGCCTGGGGCCCTGGCTAATCACCTGGAATCAAGGAGCACTGCTCCCTCTGACTAGGAACACATGGTCCTTCGGGCCTTTCTCCATGTGGGGGTCTAGTTGTTATAGCACTTGGAGATGTGAGGAACTACTGGAGAAACATGTGAAAGAACTCTGTGAGCTATGAGTCAGTGTCACTGGTGAGGGGTTATAATTGCTGCTCCTCCCAGCTCCTTCTTCTGGGCTAAACCAGAGCCATTCTCACCTCTGCCCGCTGGGTGCTGGGCTGGTGGGCATTGAGAATGGGGGCTACTGGGAGAAGCCCCTGGCCAGGAACCTGTCGCCGGAGCCGGGGGGTCTGGAGACTATAGGAAAGGGTCACCACAATGGCCCGAAGCTTGTCTTTAACATTCTCCTGGAAAGGGGAAAAATGGAAGGGATACAAGAACAATCCTCAGGCCCCAGCCAAACTTAAGACAAACTCTGAAACCTGGAAAGAAGTTTAGGGAAATGATGGACAGAAGTGGAGAACTGAGCAAAGAGAAGGGAGAGCAACTAAAGTGGAGAAGGGAAGAGACCCACGATTAGGGCTTTGAGAACCAGATGTGACAGGGGACCCTGCCATCTCCATCTCCAGGGAGCACAGAACTTGGCAGGAGACATACGAAGGCAACAGTCAATAATGGAGCCTTCCCAAAAGTCGAGATCTCAGAATGAGGTGTGAGTGTGTTAGGGAAGAAGCTAAGAGGAATCAAGGAAGAGATCATGCAATGACAATGACCCTCAGAGGCCAAGGGGTCAGTGTCCACCTGTAACTGAAATGTGGTGTCTCCACAGACTCGGTCATGCTGGTGTTTCAGCCACACGGTGCCTGAGGCCTGGTGCTTAGGGTCATCGGGGCCACGGCTCAGGAAGGTCACCCGGGGAACCTGGCCCCGGAGCCTGCGGTCTGTGTCCCCGTCTAGCACATAATCCAGGGCTGTGGCGTATGGGGAGAGGAGAGGAGACAGTGAGCTGGGGAACTGCTTCAATCTGACCCTGTACCCAGGGGCCCTTCTTTCCCCTGTGAAACCCAACAGGGTAGGAGACGGGAAGGGGACCCCACTCACCCACAATAGGGCTGTAGCTGCTGGGGGTTGCAATGTAGCTGAAACAAACCCTTAGGTCCACACTGTGGAGGGGCAAAGGGTAGCTCTTGAGTCAGGCAAGGCTTATGGGCCACGCCCACACCCCTACCCTGCCCCCTCCTGATCCAACAGTCAGCCCCGTTGCCAAATGAGGCAGGGAAATGGAGAAGGGAGAGGAGTTTAGAGGCCCTGGATGACCTCACCCAGCCTCCCTCCCCCCTGGGTGCTCCCTCACCAAACCAAGTGGCCACCAGCACAGTTGGGCTGTTCTAGGTCGATGGCTCGTGGAGAAATGGAGACCTCATGGGAGACATGGAGGACAGGTCTGGCCCTGGGAAATGGAGAGTTAAGGGCACAAAAAACATAAGAACATGAGGCTGAGAAACTGGGGGGTGGGTGGGGATGGGCTCTTCAGCATCAGATTTGGCACGAGTGGGCTCGCAGACTCAGGAAGGGAGAAGACAAAGGAGGGGCAGGGCCTCACCTGAAGAGCACTGCAGTGTCGGCCAGGGAGCCCACCAGCAGGTCAGGGTAATGGTTCCCGTCCACGTCCAGGCCGCCCGACAGAGAGTAGCCAAAGCTCTTTACACTCACGGCCTCGCCCTCCAGCACCTGCAGGACCTGCCTGTCAGTGCCCCCACCCACCACTCAGACCTCTGCCTCCTCCCTGCCCTCTGCAGCCACGCCCCCCATCCCACCCACGCCCACTCCCTCAGCCCAACAAGCCCCCTCACCTGGGAAGGTTTGACAACAACCCCCAGGCTGCTCCCGTGGTAGATAAAGACTTTCCCGTCCCCATCAAAGGGAGCGCCCACTGCAAAATCTGGGTGAGCAGAAAAGGCAGTCGGGCTGGGGGCCGGGGTGACAAGGTCCAGGCCCCAACTTTCCCTCCATCACCTAGTTCGATGTCATATGTGCTCCATTTCACAGAGGCCACTAAGTCCCAGGGGCCTTGCACACATCATTTTTAATGCCCTCAGCTGCTCCCTGCAGATACCACCAGCTCAGAAAAGTTAGGTAACTCGCCCAAGGTCACACAGCTGGTAAATGGTAAAGTTCAGGTGTGAGCCCCGATTGCTTCTCTCCCTGGGCCCTCAGAAGAGCTCCTCGTGACCTTTGAGGCACTTCCTGCCCCTGCCCCTGCCCCTGCCCCTGCCCCTGCCCCTGCCCCTGCCCCTGCCCCTGCCCCTCCTGAGCCTTTCCAGTTCCTATCACACCTGGGAAGCCATCTTGGTTGAGGTCCCCAAGGACAGCCAGACTGATCCCAAACATGGAGTCGGGGGTGCCGCTGAGCCGAAGAGGGGAGACCCCAGCCCAGTGACCCCCTTGGTTCAGGTACACATACACAGCACCCCCCAGCTCTTCTTGGCGCTCAAAGAAGTAGGGAGCACCCACTATCAGGTCTGCCCAACTATGGAGAAAGAAAGACAGTCAGTGCGGGGGCCTGCCCAGCCAGGAAAGTCAGGAGGAGATGCCAGAGACCCCCAGCCCCCCTGGACCCAGCTTCTCCCAGCTCCACTCCCCTATGCACACTCACCCGTCATTGTTCAGATCAGCTACAGCCAGCGAGTAGCCAAAGCCAGAGGTCAGGCCCTCGCCAGACAGCATCACTTCGGGCACCAGGCGACTGGCACTGTCTTTGCGCAGAATGACCACAGCCCCCTTGTGGTTGGCCCGGGGGGCCCCTGCCACAAAGCTCAGCTCCTCTGCACGCACCAGACCCTTCCCCGAGTCGATGGAGAAACCTGGAGGGGGGTGACCTCCCAGTGAGCACTCTCCTTAAGGCCCAGGAGCCAAGGTGTGCCGCAGGCCCCGCCATCCCCTCCTCACAGGTCTGGAGCCAAAGATGCAGGCACCTCCATGTTACCACCACCACAGCTGACTGTTCCTCCCCCTACAGAGGCCTAGCAGCCCCCCACACCCAGAGACTGGAGTTTGGCACAGGTAGTGCAGTGAGGTCAGCCTCGGGGACTGGGAAGGAAAGATAAAGGCAATGGCTGAGCAGCCAGACGCTGGGCAGGAGTGAGCGCACTGGCAGGAGCTGGGGCGGGGCCCCACCCCTACAACTCCCAGAGAACTGCTCTCCCCTCTGCACACCCCGGAGGCCCCTGTCCTATCCCGTGCACCTTCTTGGCCCCCACTCCCACCATCCTGGCAGGGAGAGGAAGTCCTCACATGGGTGGAGGGAGACAAGAGGGAGTGGAGAAGAGCTTGATTCACCCAAATTTCTCTCAGGCCTCGTTCCTCCCTTCTCTGCAGTAGGATGCAGATGAGACAATGACAGGGACTTACCAACACGCCTGGACTCTTATCCAGCATGTGCCCACCATCCCTCCCGGAGAAAATGTCCCCCTAGAAGTCTGGCCTCTTTCCTCCCCAGCGTGGTCTCTGTCCACCTGGTTCTTTCTCCATGGAGACCCCTGTTCACAGCCCCTTGGGTTCTCCCCCTTGGGACCTTTTCTTCTCAGGTCTGGTCACTGGGCCCAGCTCGTCTCTGGGTGTGTGGGGGGGTGGGGCAGAGCAGGAGTGGAGGGGAAGCCAGGCCAAGCCCCCAGGGCCCAGGAGGACGTGGGTGGGCGCTTACAAACCTAAGTAGCTATTCAGGGCCAAGTCTCCGGCTGGTCCGGGGAGCCGGTCAGCGGGGTCCAAAGTTTTATACACCAGCTGGTCAGGGTCTGAGCTATCAATGTTGGTCACAAAGAGCAACCCTGTGGGGGTCAGGGGCAAGGGGAGGAGAGAGACACCAGGGACAGGACATCCAGAGGAGGGGCCACGGAGTGCAGAGACAGAGCCAGACACAGAGGCACGAAGAAGAGGAAGAGGTTGAGAAAGAAAATGAGAGAGACAGAGGCCAAAGGGAGGAGAACAGAGACAGAAAGACAGGGACAGAGACGGAAGGGTGGGAGCGTGGAGAGGGAGGACAAGAGAGAGGAGCAGAGGGTTAGAGTGACTCTGGGCCAGGAGAGGTCCCTACCAAAGTAGCTGTTGGCAGGGACCGGGATGAGGCGGGGGTCCTGCTCCTTCTCACCCCCCGCCTCGTAGGGCCCGTCGTCCAGGTGGGCCAGGTCCGCTGAGCCCTGCGCACAGAGCTCCACCCTGGCGGTGCCTGCAAGGACAAACCTGTTAGTGCCCAGGGCAGGGAGCTCGGAGCACCCTTCAGTCCGGATGCTAGTTAGACAGTCACACAGGGAAGCCACTCCTCTCCTCTGCAGCCCCATCTCCACCCGCCCCCCGCAACTTCTGGGGTCCCACAGACTTGGCACACACTCACCGAGTGTCAGCTCAGCCAGCAGCAGCGTGTGGAGACGGGAGTGGGAGTGATGAGGTGTGGCTGGGGTGTTGGCAGGGAGGACCGGCCGTGCGTGTGGGGCTCATGCCAGCGTGTGGAGGAACACTCGGCCATGCGCAGGAGAGGAGGTACCTCCATCCATGCATGTGCTTGCACGACGGGGGTGGGAGGCATGGCAGTGCCCCAGGACTACATGGCAGTGAACGTGTGGGCATGCTTGGCCGCGTGCTGCCCTCTGAGGTAAGAGGACAGTTTGGTGCCCTTCTGCCCTCCCAGAGGAGTGACTCACCCTTCCAGTTATAGGTCCCGGGGGCCCCAAAGAGGAGGTAGTGGCTGTCGGGGGAGAAGGCAGCGGCAGCTCCCTGCTGGCAGAACCCAAATTGTTCATGGCCCTGGGGACGCCCCTCACAGAACTTCCACTCGCCACCATCCAAGTCGTCGTGGGTGGCCAGGTCCTGGCTCAGCACGAAGCAGCGACCAATCACGTCCCTCGTCTCCAGGATTTGGCCTACTCGCTGCCTTGCCTCATATCTGTGTGCGCAGGTCTGCAGGAGACAGAATGAGGAGCCATGCCCCCGGGTGAGCCAGGGACCTGCCCGAGCCACACTGCCCACGTGCACACACTTGACAGGTGCTGTTTCGTGTGCACGCACCACACACGCACAACACACACACATGACAAACCCCTGTGCGGGCACTGCCTGAGCTCCACCACCAGCGCAGTGTTCGTCAGCTAATTCACAACCCACTACCCCACCGGCACCCGCTCCCTTGCCCTGGCAGGAAGAGGTCCGTGTTCCGCACTCCGTCTGTGCACACACAGGCACAACTAAGCCAGCACACGCAGCTCTCGCGCCTCTACGGCCACACCAACAGGACCACTTTGGTCCTGTCTCTGGCCCTTTATGTCATTGCCTCCTCTGCCAAGAACTTCCTCCCCGTCCCCACTCTCCACGTGTCTCTTATTCTGGAAAGCCCAACTCAGTCGCCCCACCTCAGACAGCCTCTCCCCCCACTCTTCCTTCAGACTTTGACAGACTGAGGACTATACCGCTCACTTCACACTGACCACACTCTGTCCCACGGTGACTTGTACTGATAATTGTGTACTTGTGCATATTGGTGAGACGATACACAAACACACACACAGAAAAGGAGAGGATGAGACTCTGCATATGTGCAGTAGGCTATTTGAGTTGCGGACCAAGCGTTTCCCTGTCTTTATTTTTTTTTAAGATTTTATTTATTTATTTTTAGACAGAGGGGGAGAGAGGGAGAGAAACATCAATGTGTGGTTGCCTCTTATCGCACCCCTACTGGGAACCTGGCCCACAACCCAGACATGTGCCCTGACTGGGAATTGAGCTGGTGACCCTTTGGTTCACAGGCTGGTGCTCAGTCCACACACCAGCCAGGGCTTCCCTGTCTTTACATATCCTCTCTCAATAACTAGCACAATGACTGATGCTTAAAAGGTTCTCAGTAAGAGTGTAACAAGTGGATGGATGGACGAATGTTTAGATGGTTTAAATTTATAAGGGGCCATATCGTACACTTTTTATCTCTCCTTGAGGTCCTGGGAATCAGACCATCATACCAAATGCCCAGCCTGTGCTCTGTAAGCACATCCGTCCATATGCACATGTGCACGCACACACACACACGCACACCACCACCCTGGCATACAGCCACAGTAGTGGCACTCACCACAATTTTGCCTCCAGGCCCCTGGCTCCGAACACTCACTCCCAGCCATTGGTTCTCCTTGCTCTCCTTCTGCACATCAGCTGGAGGCAGGACACTGGGAATTAGGGGAGGGGAGCAGAGGCCAGGTCCTCTCCTCCCCTCCTCATTTGCTGCCACCACTCCACTCCCACAGGGCCCATACCTCCCTGATCAATGTCCACTCTGTAGCAGTCAGTCTCCTCCAGGCTCAGGGGGCAAGCGAAGAGACCTCCGGTGCGGTTCGCCTGCTGCCCAGGCAGAGCCAGGGCCTGGGGGGCACCCACCAGCAGCCTACGTGATGGGGTAGGGGAGGAGTTAGCAGCCAAAATGCTCCCATCCCCCAGAGCTTCCCAGGCCCAACACCTTACTGCCACACAGTGTTGAAGGGCTACAGACAAGGACCCAAAACCCTTTCCCAAGTCCTGACAAGGGCAGGTTAAGGGCAGATTGCTAACTTGGCCACGCAATCATCACAGTACATATGCTCGTACTGCAGACACACACACACACACACGGCAACCCAAGCATCCTGGTCAGCACTGCTAGTTTGAAAGAACCGCCTGTCCCAGCACCTGTTCCTGACCAGGCCTTTCCTGCCACTCCCTGGCCCCATCCCCAAGCTCTGCCCCCCTCCACAGTCCTGTTGAAACCTTCCCAGAAATGCCAAGAATGCTGGAAGCGAAAGTAACCGGAGCCCAGACTGGCACCACAAGGTGGCCCAGGGATCAGCTTTGAAGGCCAAGCAAGAGCCTAGACATAGGCCTGCTTCCCCCACCAGGGAACCTGTCAGAGACCCCGCCGCCAGCAAACCTGCCAGCCCAGGTTTGCTGGCGTCTATCCGTCACTCCAGGCAGCAGCAGGATAGGGCAAATACCTCATCTGATCTCCAGTGTTCCCTCTATTCTCCCCTCACCTCCTGAACCCCCTTTTCCATCCTTTCTTCTCCTCCCCACAGCTACGATTTTCCCATTCCTCTCACCCCACCCCACTGCCACCCCCTCCCAGTCTTCTCTCCTACCTCCCCCTCAGACGCTTTCCCAGCTACAACTTTCTTGGCAGGACAATTTTCCATAATCACAGCCAAGGCTTCTTCCCTGAGAGGACTGTGCTGGGAATGGAGGCTGCCTGGGTCCCTTGAGGCTGAACCCTCAGGCCAGCAGTGGAGGAGGGGTGAGATGAGGCGATTGTCACCCAGCTGGCTACAAGGATTCTCTTTTTGAAGAATGAGAGACTCAAAAGTGGCAGCAGGGCAAACGTCAAGGCCTCTCTCCCACACTGCTTCCCTCCATCCCCCCTCCTGGGGGAGGGGCCCAAAGCCGTGTGGGGCAATACTGCAGCCAGGCATCTGTGGGGCACTGTGCCATTTCTGTTGGGTGGGGGGTGGAGGGAGGGCACAGAGCCACTCTCCCTTCCCACAACTCCTCGCCTCTGCCCAGCTGTCATCCCTTGTCAGAGCCAATGTCAAGAGAGAGACCAGGGGCGGGGGGAGTAGTGGTAGGGAGGAGAGCGTGGCATGCATTCGGCATTTGTTAACAACTATTTATTGAAAACCTATCTGCCAAGCCCTATGTCAGGCACTGGTGAGGCAAGGAAGGAATATTCATTCAGCACCTACTCTGGGTCAGGGCCCAGGCTGAATGCCAGGGACATGAGGAACTTTATCACTCTCCACCTAGGTGCTGGGCTAGGCAAGCTACGTGCATTATCTCAACCTTCACGACAATCCTATGTAAGGCTCCTTTTCTGGTCTTTCAAAACAGGACACTCAGAGACGTTAAACGGTATGCTGGGATTCAAATGCACGTCTGTCTAAGTCCAGTACCCGAGCCTTTCCACCACAGCCAGTGACAGGCCATGTTCCGAACACTGAGACTCCTCCAGAAATCCAGAAAGAGGTGGTTCAGTTGGTTGGAGCACTGTCCCATACACCAAGAGGTTGTGGGTTCGATTCCCTGTCAGGGCGTGTACCTAGGTTGCAGGTTCCATCCCCAGTCAGGGCAGATACAGGAAGCAACCTATCAATGTTTCTCTCTCTCTCTCCCTCTCTCCTCACCCTCTCTCTCTCTCTGCCCCCTTCCCCTCTCTCTAAAATCAATAAACATATCCTTGGGTGAGGATTTTTTAAAAAGAGAGAGAAACCAGGCAGCACAGCCAACCTTCAGACAAGTCGGCAGTAATGCCAACACAGAGACAGCTGTCTCTTAGCGGGGGGAAGCTGTCTGACTCATCTCCGTGCTCACCCCCTAGGAGGCCGAGCCACACTTCATGTGGACCCCCAGAGGCAGGCAGTGTCTCAGATGGTCAGTGCATAGCTGAGCACCAGGAGAAGCTAACAGTCAGTGTTCACTGTTCACATCTCCTCTGGAAGTCAAGAGGAGAGAAGAGGGGGAGGAGAGGGGTCCGCAGGGAGGAAAGAAGTTGAGCACATGGATCCACCCAGCCCCACCCTTGGTGAGCAAACCAGCCCATGCTTCCTGGAACAAGAGTTCCCACATGCAGCCTCTCTGGTCCCTCCACCTCTGCCCCAGCCACACACTTCTTCCTGGCTTTATCCCACGGTCCCCAGATACTCCAGGGCTCTAGACAGAACAGTAGCCACAGCTACTAGGAGAGAGAAAAGACAAAATCCTATTGGCAGCTGAGGGCAGAGGGACTCCCTGGGAGCTGGGCTAAGTGAAGGTGAAAGAGAAGTCCACAACCACTACACCTCTTAGTTCTCCACTCACTCCAGGCTCCGACCCAAGTCCAGCCCCCTCTGTCTCTCTCCTCTGGGTGGCCTTCTGCGAACAGTGCTGGAACTGAATGAAGGCTGGCTCAGCTTGGGAGTGCTCTAGCCAAGCCTTTGAATCTGGGCTTGCTGTAAGGTGCTGAACCTATTCTCTAGGTCTGTGGATCCCAATACAGGAATTATAGCATTCACTATGGGCCCTGCACTGTTCTAAGCATTTTACATGCTGGAGAAGGAGATGTGGAACTCAAAACCTAGGGATAAGCAAGGTACTTGGTCTCCCACAGGCCAAAAGGCAGAAGAGCGCCCCCTGCTGGAGCAAAACCCGGGGTTAGGCATTCAGGCCCCTGGGGGAATGCCCTCAGCTTGGCTCCGGGAGACAGAGTCAGGGGCCACCTTCAGAGATGAGGGGGAAATGACAAGAGACCAAGCTATTAAAAATAACCTAGAATTTGCCTAGAAATAGCTTAGAGAGTTCAGCATGTCCTAAAAAGGCCTCCGGTTCTGGAACTCTGGCAGATGGGGGAAGGGGGAAGGGAGACAGATGAGGGAGGAAATAGACAGAAGACTAAAGACGACATGAAGTCAGTTGCTTTCGTGTTTTCCAGACTTCGGGGGACCACTGACCCTGCTCCCTGATGACAGGGATAATAACGGGAAAAAGATCAGAGCTAGCCGCCCCGCCTCCCTGAGCAGGAAAAGAGAAATGAGCTCTTGTCACTACCCTCTGCCCCCAGGCCAATAGTAGCAGGGAGAAGACAGTCCCTGTGGATGGCATTGATCCCAGTAATGGACACTTAGTGTGGCTTAGGCTTGGCCTAGGAGAGAAAAGCTCTTTGGCAGGAGGAGGTGGGAAGCTCCCTTCTTGTCTCCCTCTTTAAAATCACCCACACAGCCAGAGCAAACAGTACACAAAGCACCATGGTCACAGGCCCCTCACAAGTGTGTCCTTCTCCTATAGGTCCTGACCTGATTAGAAAATAACCAGAATTGTCCTCTACCCCTCATTCCACCCTGCCTCCCGCTGCTGCTGAGATTCCTGGAGCTGGAAATTTCCTGAGGAGGAGGAAGGGGAACAGCCTGGCCAGCATCCTTCCTGGATCTCTCTCTCTGTCTCACTGCTGCTACACCTTTTGGGGGCTCTGTTTCCTGCCACTCTCTCTCATTGAAACACCTAGTACAGGTTGCCAGACCCCGCCAGGTTCTCTCCCAGCTTTCCAGTGGTCTCCAGCCACCGAAGTAGCAGGTCTCTCCTGGCTTCCCAGTGTCCTGCTGCCCTGATCCCATCCTATAGCAATGCACTGGCAGGAAGTTATTTCTGGAGCCCACCCTCTACCCCTCCCACGGCACCTTTAGCCTCTCTGTCCTTTCCCTCTCTTCCTGTCCCAAGCAGAGACAGCATGCTCAGTCCTCCTCCCTGAGGGAATTCGGCCCTCTGAAGAAGAAGGGGAGCATGCACCCTGGGACTGGAGCCAGGATGCAAGTTGGGGGCGGGGTGGGGGGGAGCAAACAAAGATAGCCCCTGCCAAGGCAAGAACTGTGCTCTACAACTCATCCTCAAAGCAAGAACCTAGCTCTCGGGGTTGAAGGGTACCCTCCACCTGGAAATAGATGGGGCAAGGCTCCAAACTGGGGTGCCGAATATCTGTGGACAGCCAGTCTTCGTGGGGTTCAAAGACTGAGAGATGAGGCAGGGGTGGGGAATCCAGAGGCTCGGGCACAGGGACTCTGGGCGGGCGCGGTGACTCACCAGCTCTGGGGTCGGGGCTGTAACTGCCGGTGCAGAGCCACAGAGAAGCCGAAGAGGCTCCCCGGCTGGCCCTCCTTGCGCAGGGCGCCCATCACATCCAGATTGAAGGCGACAGCCCCCGGGGAAAGCAGTCCGGCTAGAAGGGTGCCAAGAAGGTAACAAATCCCCGAGAGGCCCCCAGGATCGAGGCCCAGAGTCCTGGCCATCGGCGAACCCTGGGCGCGCTCCCCACGGGCGCAAGGAAACTCGTAGCGCCCCGAGCACCAAGGTCTCTCAGGCCGGTGTTGGTATCGAGTCCCGCTGATCTTCAGGGGTCTCCCAATCCTTCACCGCTCCACTGCCCCAAGCACGCTGGCCGGACTGCTGCGGGCTCTCCGCATCCACTGGGGCTCCCGCCTCCGCCCCCTCGGGCAACGCCCCGCCCCGCCCTCCGCCCGCCCTCCAGCTCCGCGGCAGGTGGAGGCCGGCGCGCGCGGAAAGATGCCCAGGCGGTCTGCGGGAGGAGAGACCTGGCCTTGCTCCCAGGTCCCCCAGCCCCGCCCCAGCTCCGCCCCACTGGGCTCCGTGCTCCTCTTTTCCCCTCACTCCTGTGGGTGTCCGTGAAGGGTGGAGGCGGCGCCTAGGAATGGGGACTAGAGAGGGACTGAAAAAGAGAAAAAGATGGTAAAGAGATGAGAAATGGATGAGGCTAAAGGAGTCTGGGAAGAGAGATAGGCACACAGAAAGAGAGGAAATGAAAGGGGAGCGGTCTCGAGCCTGGGTCCTATTTGGCCCCTTAGCCCTCCCTTCTCCCCCTGGTCACATGGAACACTTCTCACACTGCTCGACTCAAACTGCTTCCCACCTCTTCCTGCACGACGCTCCCAAGCCCAGCAGTGACACCTGGTCTGCATTCAAGGGAAGAAAGGGAAAGACTGGCAAGAAGAGAGAGAAAAACTCAGCAGGCCTAGGGAGAGAAGCAAAGGAAGCAGGTAGAAAGAAACAAACAAAAAGGAAAAGAAAATAGATGGAGAAAGAAAGGCAAGAGTTTGATCAACAAGAGATGGGAGAAAACAAGAAAAACATAGGCTGGGAGAAAGGGGGTGCCAAAGGAAGGCAAAGATGAGAGACTGGACCCAAGAGGCAGAGGGATGGGAAGGATGTCTCCAGCTCCCAGACCCTTTCCAGGACTGCGCGTTTCCCACCCACCTAAGGGCAGAGGATGGGAGGGGACAGAGTCCTGGGCTGGCCCAGGCAGGAGCTGGGTGGGGCTTCGCAGGGATCTCCAGGGGGACCTGTAGGCCTGTCCCTGTCTTCTCCCTTCCCCCAGGCTGAGACAGAATCAAAGGGAGGGGGGACATTTCCAACTCTCTGCTATTTATAACTCCAATCCAGAAATGGGGCCATGGAGAAGAGATAGGAAATAATTTGGCACAAATGGAACCTCACTTGCTCCCATCTTCCCTTCCTAGATATCTTTCTTGCTGGGTGGTGATCTTGTGTGTATCCCTGTGTCCATCTTTTCTCTCTCCTCTCCCCTCATCTCCTCTCCTCTCCTCTCCTCCTTCCTTCCCTCTCTCTCTCTCTCTCTCTCTCTCTCTCTCTCTCTCCCTCTCTATGTCCCTCTCTTCCTCTCTCTGCTTTTGTCTCATCCCAAACTCGACTTTTTCCCCCTTCTTAGAATCTTCCTCAGACTATTTCTCAGTGTCTCTAATGTTTTCTCTGCCCCTCAAATGCTATCATATTTTTGAGATTCTGTCTTCTCCCTCCCTTTCTTAAAAGCTGCAATATGTGTTCTACCTAGTTCTTTACATGCTCCCTTTGTCTCTTCCTTTTTTTTTTTTTTCTAATCAGATAGGAGCAATCAGGGTGTTGCAAGTCCTGATTCCACAGAGACATTTAATCGCAAATCATGCAAATTCCAATCATCATAGTCAAATCTGTTCTACAAAAGGAAAAACAGGTAAGGATTATCCCACCTGACGATATCTCTTACTTCTTTGTCCAAGATTATACTTGTACTTTTTTCTCTTTTTTTCAAAGATTTTATTTAGTTATTTATCTATTTATTTATTTATTTAGAGAGGGCAAGGAAAGGAGAAAGAGAGGGAAAGAAATATCAATATGTGGTTGCCTCTCATGCATCCCCACTGGGGACCTGGCCCACAACCCAGGCATGTGCCCTGACTGGGAATTGAACCAGCGACCCTTTGGTTAGTAGGCTCATGCTCAATCCACTGAGTTACACCAGCCAGGGCTTCCAAGTTTATACTTTTAAACAAACAGGTAGACTCTCACTCTGCTGGCCCTTTGACAATCCTTGCCCTGGGTGCAAATTACTAACAAACTTCCAAATTACTATGCACTTGAAGGTTTGGGCCTCTGTTTTTACAATATTACACTTGTGGCCAGGGGACTAGGCAACCTCTAAACAAGTGCCACTAAGGAAGTACAAGTACGACTGCCAGCAGGCTGGCACTGGGATCCTACTGCTAGTACTCCCAGATATGCTCTCCCATCCCTTTTCTACTTCAGGGCCACAGACAATAGAGAAGGGCTGGTATGAGAATACAGAAAAGTACAACAGAGAAAGGACCCAGGACTCCTGACTCAGAGCCCAGACCTACAGCCCGGGTCAGAATGCCTTTAGAGCCCCAGCTGCCTCCCTTTCTGCACCTACAGCTTCAACCTCCCTCCAGCTGCACTCCACTGGCTCCTGCTAAATCCGAGGCTGAAATCAGATGCCAAGAATCTGCTTCTGACCTCCTCTGCCCAAATATTTGAGAAGTCACCTCACTGCCACAGGAGGAAGGAGAAGGAAAAGAGAGAGAGAGAAAGGCTGCCCAAAATTAGCTTGCCTATAAATAGTGGGGCAAGGGTTGGCGGGAACATGCAAGAGCTCTAGAGCAGCCTGGTAAGTTTAGTCATGTAGATTTTCTCTAAAGGAGAAGTAATACCAGATTGTTGGAATGGAAAGCAATATTATAGAAGTATTGTAGATAAAGAAGGGAATGAAGAAGCTGGATCCTGAGAATGGAGGAAGCTGAACATCAGAATAAACAACCTGCCAGAGAACTTCCTGTATCTGAGTCAAGAGTTTGGGAATTCAGTAAATTAAAACAAATGCTGATACTATATGATTCCACTCATACAACATTCTCAGCCCTGGCTGGTATGGCTCAATGGATAGAGTGGCAGCCTGCAAAACAAAGGGTCACTGGTTCGATTCCCAGTCCGGGGCATGTGCCTGGGTTGTGGACCAGGTTCCCAGGAAGGGGCACGCAAAAGGCAACCACACATTGATGTTTCTCTCCCTCTCTTTCTCCCTTCCCCTCTCTCTAAAAATAAATAAATACAATCTTTTAAAAAATTTCTCAAAATAATGAAACTAGAGATGAAGAACAGATTAGTGATTGCCTGGGGATGGAGTGGGAGGTGACTACAGAAGGATAGTATAGCAAGTTCCTTTGTGGTGATGAAGCATTCTGTATCTTGATTTTGGTGGTGGTTATTTGAATCTATACATGGGATAAAATTGCATATAACTACACATGCATACACACACATCCAGATACATGCAAATGAATGCATGTGAAACACTGGTGAGAAATGGGTAAGGCCTGTAGACTAGTTAATAACATTGCAGCTATATCAGGCTCCTGGTTTTGATGTTGTGCTACAGCTATGTAAGATGTCGCCACTGGGGGAAGCTGGGAAAAGTACACATAGAACTTCATGTACTATTTTTGCAACTTCCTCTGAGTCTGTAACAATTTTAAAATAATTTTAGCCGTGGCTGTTGTGGCTCAGTGGATTGAGCACCGGCCAGCGACCCAAAGGGTTACTGGTTCTATTCCGTCTAGGGCACATGCCTGGGTTGCAGGCCAGGTCCCCAGTAGGGGGCGCACAAGAGGCAACCACGCATTGATATTTCTCTCCCTCTTTCTCCCTCCTTTCCCCTCTGTCTAAAAATAACATAAATAAAAATAAAATAAAATAATTTTAAAAATTGATAAATGCCCAGGCTCAGCAATGCTTGTTCAAGTGGGATCTGAGGCTTTCTCCAGCCCTTTCCCCCTCTACCAGTCTTCTTCCCTCCATCTGGGATCCCTATTTTTCAGCTTGGTTCAAGCAAAGACCTCCAGAACACACACTGTCGGGTTAACTTCTCCCTCCACCTCATCTGGCAGCAGAGCCATGAAGCATTTGTCCCCCAGGGTCAGTCTTTTCCCCCTCACCATACACAACATGATGACTTTCTCACCCCACCCACCTCTCCAGCACTGGAATCCTTCCGCCTGCCTCTGAATTCTGGCTGTAGCCAAAGCTTCAACTATGGGAGTGGCTGGGAGAGAAAGAATATAAGTGTGATTGAGAGGAGTGTCTGGGGAAATGACCACTCTGGTCTTTGAGGATCCAAAGGAAACCCTTGCATCTTGGGAAGAAGGACTAGGAGATCACATCCCACAAGGAGCCATTTAAACTGTCTCAAGGGCCCCTTTTCTTTGAGCACTGGCTTCCGGCCAACATTTGGAACTTGGCCACACCACCAACGGCCCCCTTCTTGAAGCCCAGCCAGATTTCCCAGTATGAGAAGCCTTCTCCACTCACGCCATGTCCTCCCTCAGTCCTCACTCAACCCTTAACAATTCAGCAGCTTCCGGCCCTAACATTTAGCCTAATTAGTCAGCTTGAAGCTTGCTAATTAAAGTTAACTCTGAAAGAGACCTCAAAAGAACAGAAAAATGAGTGGATGAAAAGAGCATGGAGTTATATTCATTCATGCTAAGGGAGAATAACTAGGTGGGGGACTGTAAAGAGAGGTGGGCAGAAAGAGATTTCAACTATCAAGACTCATTCTCGGGATACACGTGCAGCTTTTCTCCATCTCTACCAAAGGCAAGTGGGGTTGAACTTAAACTGCAGCAGAAACTGAGGTTAGACAATACACAAGAACCCAGAAAAAGAGCAACTGGAGGATGACTGGCAAGATCAGCTGCTGTCTGCAGATACAAGTACCCATGTCCTGTGTCCGGCTCTAGGGCAAAGGAATAGCCAGTGTTCAGGAGGAGAGGGAGGGGCTGATGTCTGCAGAATCCTGGCAATCTCTGTACTGATTGTGCAAATGTCACACAGTTGTGCCAAGCAGGGTGAGGGTAATACAGGATGGGCCTGGCACTCTCACTGAGTCAGCCTAATCTTAACAGTGACAGACTCTCCACAGAAACCCTCAACACCAACCTCCCTCATTAGCCCCTGCCTTCTGTTTCACATCCCCCAAGTCACCGTTCTCTGGTACCCCTTCCAACCGCTGCCCTTCTTTCCCAGGCCTCACAGGTCTGGGAGTGAGATACCAGGCATCTTCCAGTCCGCCTCTATTTTGCTTGATCACTGCAGTTAGAAGCTGGAGCCAGCGTGGGGGGAGGACTGGGCCAGGCTGCCCTGTGATGCTCTCACTCTTCCCGCTTCTATTGATCAGCGCTTCTCTGGAATGGAGCCTCTTCCCAAACACTCCTCCCCTGCCAGGATCCCCTTCAATGGATGCCAAGGCTGAAAGGGCATACTGACAAGAGACAGGGCTCCTTCTCTGGGGGTCCTTCCCTTGGCATCTGCAGTATAGTGCAGGGGTTACATTCAGGCTTTGGAGTCAGATAGCCTGGATTTATATCTGAGCTCTACTTTTTGTAAACTCTGTTACTTCACCACTGTGTACCTGAGTCTTCATCTGCAAATTGGGGGTGACAATTATAATACTCTGCAGGATACTTCTATGGATTAAATTAATTAATACATGTAAAGTGCCAGAGTAGAGGGTTCCCTGGACTCATTGAAATTCTCTTCCTTCCTGACCTTTCCCTCCTGGCAGCTCCAGCCGGTTCTCGGTTGATTCTCAGTTCCTTCCCACTAGGAGGGACTGCTTTCCTTTCAGAATTTTTATTTTGGCACTTAACGTCCTGCCTTTGCTGCCACTTAGCCATTTCACTCACTGAGCCTTTGATGGTCGCACATCTCCCGGGATTTAAGATGCTACTCTGCAAATAGCTGAGTAAATCAAGCCATCAGCAGTCCCCAACTCTTCCTCAGAAAACCAAGAAGGATGTTTTATTCTAACTCAGTCAGCACCCATTTCTCCTCCCCCTGCAAGTAGACACAATAAAGTCAAGCTTCAACTATGTAACTCACTCACAAAATAAGAGAATGCCAAAGTTAGAGGTAGTTTTAGATATGGTTTAGTCCAGTGATTCTCAACCTTCAATGCATTTTAGAGTCACCTGAAGAACGTTTTAAAAAGTACTTATGCTGGGGCTCCACTCCTCAGTGACCTAATTAATCTAGGGCCAGGGCATTTTTTTAAAAACTTCCCCCAGGTGATTCTAATGTTTAGGCAGGGTTCAGAATCACTGTTCTAATCCAACCCCTTTATTTCACTATATTTTACTTATTTTACTAAGGAGAAAACCCAAATCCAGAGTGGGTAAGCAACCCACCCAAAGTCACCCAGCATGTTAGTGCCTGGTACACCAAGAGAGACTGTGGCAACAGCAAGAGTATGTTGATGATGTTTATAACTTTTTATTGTTGGGAGTTAATCCTGGAAGCATTTTTCTTAGTTCAGAGAGGTGTTATATAATTTACCTTTTATTTTGACAGCAGCACTTAATCTTCTCGTGAGACTGAGATGGGTTTGCATTCCCTGACCACAGAAGGAAATGGAATTGCATGCACATTTCCGTACTAGCCAGTCAAATTAGCAAAGCTCCCTAGGAGGCCGCTCGAAGTGCCTAAAACGCTGTTTCTCTACAAAGATCACCCAGCGCTGTGGGACCTCGGTAGTGGTGAGAGGGCTGGAAAAGGAAAGAAAGCAGTCCCTCCTAGAGGGAAGGAGCTGCCAATCAACTGAGAACTGGCCGAGCTGCCCGGAGGGAAAGGCCAGGAAGGAAAAGAATTTCAGTGAGACCAGATAGCCTCTGGTCCAGCAACAACCAAACGGTGAGGGACCGCGGGCAAAACCAACCTCCCTCCCAACCCCCACAATCCAAAAGAGATGTTTAAAATTGTCCCTGCAGTGTGAGTGCTAAAAACTTCTTCCAACGCCCATTAAAAGTGAACCCTGAATAAAGACAAGAACTCACCTTCCCCCAACCCTCTACCACTCCCTTTCTTCCCAGGAAAGATTTTCACTACCTGCCAACCTGTCTCAAAAGGGGGAGGGGGGGCGGGGTAATCCCGGCCTCACGTGACAGTGTGGGCACGTGACCCTGCCCCCGCGGGAGCGGAGGGCTGCAGTTCAGCTCCTGGAGTCACAGGGGGCCGGGCGTGTCCCGCCTCCCAGCCCCCAGCCTCCCAGCCCGACGCGGCCATGCTGTCCCGCCTGCTGAAGGAACACCAAGCTAAGCAGAATGAACGCAAGGAGCTACAGGGTGAGCCGATATGTATCGTCGTGTCTGCCGTTTTCTCTTCTGCCGCGGCCTAACCTCAGTCCTGAGCCTGGACCTCGAGTAACTGCCCAGATCCAGGGAAGAGCGCGGGCTAGTGGGCACAGGAGTCGGGGGGTGGGGGTTCCTTTTGGTGCCAACGGGCTCTGGTCCCTTTAGCAACTCCCCTGTCCCCCTCGGAACGCCCACCACGCTCGGACTCCCTGACCTCCTGGTCCCACCCCCTGCTCATGGAACGCTGCGCCGATTGGTCCAAGCAGCCTCTCGTTGTGGAAGTGGGAAGGGACGTTCCTGAAGGGAGGAGGGTGTTGGGGACCCGACAGGGATGGCATTCTCGGAGGCCTGAAACCACGGAAACGGGCGTGAGGAGCTTGTTTCCTGAACCTAGGCTTGGAATCCTGGAGTTATCAATCCTTAGGCCAAGAAAGTGGGAACAGAGTGCCTGGGAGTCTGGAGTCCTGGACGCTGCCCCTGAACCGCCGGCGTCCCTGGGCAAGTGGCTTCCCCTCTCAGGGCACCAGCTTCCTCACCTCTAAAATGAAAGGTGTTTATGTTTGGCAGAGGTCTTTTCAGTTCTTGTACTCTGAGATTAGTTGAGATGTTCCCAACTAATGTCATGAAGGGGTGGGAAACCTTCAGCATCACCCCTTAAAAAACCAAGTCACCATTCCAATCCCTTTCTCCCTCCCTCCAGAAAAGAGGAGAAGAGAGGCAATCACTGCGGCGACCTGCCTGACAGAAGCTTTGGTGGATCACCTCAATGTGGGGTATGAACCTCTCCCCACCAACACCAGCTGCCCCCACCCCAGATGTGGGCACAGGCTAGGTCTAGCGAGCAGACTACTCTGGAAGGGATGAGATGTTGCACCCTTTCTCTTACCCTTCCCCCACCCAGCTTAAGTTTATGGAGAGAGGCTTGAGTCAGCTCTGACCGGTAATGTGGGGCAGGGAGGAACAGCTGCAGTTGCTTGGAAAGCAGCCAGATCTCCCCCTCCCCACCCTAACTTCCCTGGTGCTCACAACTTGCTGCCATCTGCCCACCCTCCCCTCACCCATGCAAGTCCAGCTGTCACTTTGGTGGGAGGGAGGGTGCCCTCCTTCACCACAGCTTACCACCTCTCCTCCACCTCCCACCCTCTGGCAGGCCTGGAGAGCGGCTGGCAGGAAAGAGATGGCACAGCTGGTGAGGGTGAGGGCAGAGTCTGTGCCAGGAGCTACACCAGAGCCAGGCTATCTCTGCACTTCCTGCTGGGTCTCCAGGGACCACCTCCTGCTCCAGTCCTAAATGAAAATGCCATTAACAACCAAAAAGTTGGGAAGGAGCAAAGAATATTGTCTCTTGACCTTGAGTGACTGAAGAGAATGCAGAGATGATGATTCTGTAGGGCAAATAGAATGGCATACTTGTGAACCCAGAGACTGAGTCACCCAAGTGAGCCAAGCAGGGGCTTTTGTCTCCATTACTCACGTCTGGGGAAGATTAGGGGAAGCCGAGGCTGTGGGTGGGGCCTGATCTCCCTCCTCTCCAGGCCTCTCCTGTCACTCAGCATGAATAACGGAAAACAGGAGATCAATAGGAAAAACTGGGGTTTCTGAAACTCCCAGAGGAATCTTGAAACATTGGGAGCCCCCTGCTCTTCCTGCTTCAGCTTCTACCCCATCCCCTACTGTGGCCCAGCTGTCCCCAGAGAGAAGAGACAGGGTCTACCCCCTCTCCTCCCTCCCATGTTGGTGCCTCCTGGCTCTGTTGTGAGGTTGGCCCAGGCTTCTCCCTCTCCTCTTCCTTTGCTAGAGGCCACCCCACTTTCAGTCTAGAGGGCAGCTAAGCCAAAGCCAGATTAGAAAGGGTTTTGTGTTGCTGCCCACGGCCCCTCTCATTCCCCAGAAAGGAACACAAAGGCCCCATCTATCTCAGCCCTTGTCAGGTGTCCTTCCCACTAACCCCACACCCTAACCCCGTGCCCTCTCCAGCCCCCACAGATTCCAGTGGGTGGGAGTACCGGATGTGGAGTCTCCCTGCTGACCCAAAGCTTTGGGGTGGAGAATGAAAGATTCACCAGCCAATAAGAGAACAATTATTGTACAATTATTGGAGGGGGTTAGGGGGAATTGGGGCAGGCAGAAAGTTGAGAATAGCAACCTCATGGCAGTAATGGTAACCACAGCCAGTACCTTGATTGAGGAGAAAATAAAAACTATTGCATAGAGCAGAAGGAAGGGAGAAATTGCACATGTGTGTTCATTCATTTATATGCGAGAGGAGAAAGGTTGGGAGAGAGACTAAGAGCCAAGAAGCAATCCCTGGGAGATTCTCTCTGGACCCTGAGTTCCTGGGGAGGGGGTTGCTCTTCCATCCCACCCCAGAGTCAGGGAGCGGCCCAAGTTCCTTTCTGAACTTTTTGCACAGATCCCTGGGTTTCCAATTACTACCAGATGTGTGCCTGCTGCTGGATTTTCCCAGCTTCCTCACACACCTTTTCCTTCCCGGTGTTTTATTCAGAGATATTCTCCTACCAGATTTGCCCTAACTTGCCCCACCCAGCTTCAGAAACTTGTCAGCTCCCAGCTAGGGTCTCCTGGGAATGCAGGGAAGGAGCTGGGTTCATTTGCATGTACTAGTGTATTACGCATCCTGTAATGGTCAAAATCACAGGTTTTCCCACCTGACCCCTGGCTGGCCTCCCATTCTTGCAGTAGGATATTAGTCCTGGAGACCACTCCCACTAGTTGGCTGAGTTGACCTCCTCCCTCCTCCAACCTCTAGTGTGGCCCAGGCCTACATGAACCAAAGAAAGCTGGACCACGAGGTGAAGACCCTACAGGTCCAGGCTGCCCAATTTGCCAAGCAGACAGGCCAATGGATCGGGATGGTGGAGAACTTCAACCAGGCACTCAAGGTGGGCCACGCTCCTCACATCACCAGCACCATCCTGGGCCCCCACTGACCACCTCCAATAGGGTCACCTCAGGCCTGGGGTTAAGGAAGAAGTGGGTGTGGAGTCAGAAATCCCATCTATGGCTCCAGTGTCAGAGAGGCTCGAGAAAGAGGGAAAGGCAGTTGGTGGGTCCAAGCAAAGCCCTATGTAGGCGGTGAGTGGAACGTGCCCCCATCCGTCCACTAGAGCCACACTCTACCCACCCTGATTTATGGACTCCCACCCCCTCCCCTTCCCAGGAAATCGGGGACGTGGAGAACTGGGCTCGGAGCATCGAGCTGGACATGCGCACCATTGCCACCGCCCTGGAGTACGTCTACAAGGGGCAGCTGCAGGCTGCCCCATCCTAGCCCCTCCCCCTCCTCCTCCGCCCAGCTCCTACCCCTGCGCCCTCCCCATGGGGCAGGAGGGAAGCTAACAGGCCACAAATAAAACACAAGTTTCCATTTCTCTTTGGTACATGTCAAGGAGCTCCTAGCTCAGCATGGAGGGTGGGAATGGAAGGGGCAAGACTGTTTCCCTGAGGGACTGGCACCTTCTGGGTGGAGGGTGGAGCCATCTTCCTCTTACTATCTCAACTTCCCTTTCTCAGGCCTGGTACAGGTGTCTGTTGGGTAAGCAGAGGTTGGGAGTTTCCCTCACTTCCCCAGAGAAGGTCACAGTGGGGGCCCTGCCCCAAGCACCCTAACTCAGGACTTCAGTTTCCTGCAGGGGAGAAATCAGACAGGGAGCAGGCCTGGTCCTGGCTCTGGTGCTCTGCCTTCCCACGTGCCCATGACCTCTCCCAGCCTGGTGCTAAGCCGTGTCATGAGTCTGGACCAGGTGGGAGATAAACTCTTAAGCATGGAGGTGCTTTGGGGCTGGGAAGGGGGAGGAATGACAGGTCCAAGGTCACCAACAGGGAGAGGCAGCTGCCAAACTTGATATATCCCTCCTCCTGGGAGTCCATGTCAGAGGTAGTCAGAAACCCCAGCTGGAAAAGAGCGAGAAGGGGCAGGCCCTGGTTGCCTGCCTGTGCCAAGCCCTGGCTTCAGCCAGCAGGCTTCAGCCTCCCTGACTCCTCCCCCAAGTCCTCCCTCACATACACTTAATAGTTCTGGTGCCCAGTCCACCCTCTGAGGACTTTGGCCTTAGCTGCAGTTCAGGTGAGAGCCTAGGGAGGCCGGGAGCAAAGTTTCTCAAACAAAGCAAAAGAAGAAGCTTCCAGTGTTACAGTACCTGCTAACTTTCCGAGAGGAGGTAAGCAGGGCACTGGGAGCTGGGGTGCTGGGAGAAGACTTGCAGGATCTTACAAGTATTGGTAAAACTCAAAGCTTTAAGCTTTTAACGTGCTTCCTCACATATTTTCCCCTTTGATCCTGTGCAACTTCCTAGTGGTCTTGGTAGATATTAGTCCCACTCTGCAGAAGGGAAAACAGGTTCAGAGACACAGTGAGATACTCAGATCACACAATAAATTTAGGGCCACCAGGACCGAAATGCAGAGCTCTTTGTTCCCTATGTGTTTCCTAAAACAAGGCTAGCTTACACTTATAGAATTCAGATGCCCCTGGTTTAGCCAGAGAGCAAACCAGAGACAGCAGACAAGACCCTTCTGCCCCCTTACAGCAGGGTTGCACACGGGACCTGGCTCATCCACTGTTCATTGTCACCCACAAATGGAGAGTCTTCCCAGATCCTAGCTTTTCCTAGATAAGGTATAATTTTCCATTTATCTACAGGCAGATAAATGCTCAGGCCACAGACTTGCAGCTAGGGACACTGTTAAGGGGAAGGGTTTGAGCGCCAGAGTAAACTACACAACTTTTCCTGTCCAGCGTCAGCTGCCACCTGCAGATCGCTTGGCTCCAGCCATGTGGCTGCCTCTGCTGCTGGGGGTCTTACTCTGGGCAGCACTGTGGTTGCTCAGGGACTGGCAGAGCCTGCCAGTCAGTGATGCCTTCGTCTTCATCACCGGCTGTGACTCTGGCTTTGGACGCCTTCTGGCACTGAGGCTGGACCAGAGAGGCTTCCGAGTCCTGGCCAGCTGCCTGACGCCCTCGGGGGCCGAGGACCTGCAGCAGGTGGCCTCCTCTCGCCTTCACACCACCCTGCTGGACGTCACTGATCCCCAGAGTGTCCAGCGGGCAGCCAAATGGGTGGAAACCCATGTTGGGGAAACAGGTGAGTGTGACTGGGCCACTGGGAACATGGTGTCAGGTGCTCCCTCACAGGGGCTGTGGGAAGCCTGAGGGACTATGAGGGAATGTGCTCAGGCCCTCCCAGGAAGGAGAGGGGCTACTGGAGTGCCTCACCCACCCTCTGTGTCCCATCTCCCTGCAGGGCTTTTCGGTCTGGTGAATAATGCTGGGGTGGCAGGTGCCATTGGGCCCACGCCATGGCTGACGCAAGATGACTTCCACCAGGTGCTGAATGTGAACACACTGGGCCCCATCAGGGTCACCCTCGCCCTGCTACCTTTACTACAGCAAGCCCGGGGCCGGGTGGTTAACATCAGCAGCGTCTTGGGTCGCCTGGCAGCAAATGGTGGGGGCTACTGTGTCTCCAAGTTTGGCCTGGAGGCCTTCTCGGACAGCCTGAGGTAAGGGGGCAGGGCCCCAAGCTCCCAGGCCACTCACAAAAGAATTCGCATCTACCCTGCAAAGATGATTAAAACTCATCATAGAATATTCAGAAAAGACAGTTTAGGGCTCAGCATGATTTAGACTAGAGGCCTGGGTTCAAGTCCCAGCCTCTCATGTGAGCTTTGCGACCTTACTAGCTTGGTTCTCTTTACCCCAGTTTATCCCTCATCTGGTAAATCAGGAGGAAAAGACCTACCTCGTGGGTGCTGAGAGTGAAGTGAGATACCTGTAAAGCCCCAGCAGAACCTAGCACATGGAAAATACCCCCAAAGCCTGCTGTCCTTGTTATTAGTGTTATTCTTGATAACAACTTAGGATGAGCTGGTACCTCTACATAACATCTTTGTATTAATTCTCCCAGCAACCCTATCGGGTAGGTATTAGCACCCTCAGAGGAACCCACCTTACCCCAGACCACTGGAACTGCCTGCTTGCCTTCCGAGCCTGGCCACGCTATTCTGCTGCCCCTCATCTTTAGATAGTGATGTTCCAAGTCTCGTGAGAGTGCAGTGGACACTTGGCAAGGACAACACAGGAGCAGATCCTGAACTCTGAGCAGAAGTCCCACAAGCCAAGCCCACCTTCTGAAGGAAGCCTGCTTTGTCACCATCACTCAGCAAATAATTTCAGTATCGACATTCCGGCATGTCCCTGTCCCTCAGTTTTTTCATTTTCCAGCTGGCATCATGGAACACATACTTTATAGTTGGATTTCTGTATTTTGGGAGCAAAGGAATCAGGTTCTTCTAGGTCTGCAGTTGGCAAACTGCAGTTCTCAGGCCAGATCTGAGCAGCCACCACCAGTAAGCCAATAATGGTTTCAACATTTTTATTTTTTTAAGATTTTATTTAATTTTAGAGAAGGAAGGGAGAGGAAAAAAAGAGGGAGGAGAAACACCAATGTGTGGCTGCCTCTTAACATGTTCCCCACCAGGAACCTGGTCCACAACCCAGGCATGTGTCCTGACCAGGAATTGAACCAGGGACCTCTTCGTTAGCAATCCAGCACTCAATCCACTGAGCTATACCAGCCAGGTCTGGCTGTGACACTTTTAAATGGTTATATAAATGCCTTCGTAATATTAATTTTTAACCCTGCAGTACTGAAAATATTTACTTAGTCTTTTAAGGACTTTGCAGACTCCTGCTCTAGGTTGTCGAAGAGGATACAGAGGGAAGAAACTTCAAAATTACCTCCCTCCCTCTGTCCCCACTGCCTCATCCCAGGACAGCAAGGTATACCTTATCATTGAGACCCCTGTCCCTGGTCTGACAGCTTTCCTATCTTAGGCTCCCCCAACTTATCCCTGAACATCCCCCCCCATATAAGGGCAAAAGCCCAGAAACCTCCCTCTGCCCCCTACTCCAGGAGGGACGTGGCTCCTTTTGGAGTACAAGTCTCCATCGTGGAGCCTGGCTTCTTCCGAACCCCTGTGACAAATCTGGAGAGTTTGGAGAATGCCCTGCAAGCCTGCTGGGCACGGCTGCCTCCATCCACACAGGCACTCTATGGGGATGACTTCCTTGCCAAGTGTGAGTAGCTGGGCCCCTAGGGGGGAAATGAGAGTGCCAGAAAGGTCAGCCCTGCACCCGCCTGCTGGGAGGAAGTAGGCAGGGCAGTCAGGGAGGGGCTGAGGGTGAATGGGACACCATAGAACACCCAGGCCTGTGCAACCTGCCCATTCCCCAAACTGGCGATGGCACTAACTCCTCTCACCTCAAGCCCCAGGACCTAGAGGAGGGCCTGAAATGGGCTGGAGTGGGCATGGGGCACTGATTATAACCACCCACTGGGCTGCAGACCTGAAAGTGCAGCAGCGTGTCATGAACCTGATCTGTGACCCAGACCTGACCAAGGTGAGCAGGTGCCTGGAGCATGCCCTGACTGCCCGTCACCCCAGAACCCGCTATAGCCCAGGCTGGGATGCCAAGCTGCTCTGGCTGCCAGCCTCCTACCTGCCAGCCAGCCTGGTGGATGCCGTGCTCACCCAGGTGCTTCCCAAGCCAGCCCAGGCAGCCTACTGAATCCAGCCTTCCAGCAAGATCTTTATTTCTGCCGCCACCCTGGTACTGCCTAGTGCCTGACACAAAACAGGCACTCAATAAATGTGTATTTTAAAAATAAAAGTAGACAGAAATGAAGGTACTCTTAAGTGTTAACTACCCTAGGCTGACTTACTGCCCAGGGTCGCCTGTTCAGTGCCTGCAAAACAACTAGCGCCCACTGGAGGGCGTAAAGGGGCTGCCTTGCATGTCTAGGTGGTCTTTGACGCTGCACCTAAATGGCCACCAGAGGGCACTCTTGGACGTCTTTATTTTCTACATGGAGTAATGTTGCAGTTCATGAAGTGTTTGGAGTGGGAATGGCCCTTACATACTTTTCTTGGTGGGGGAAGAGAAGGTGGTAAAGAGAGGTCAGGGCCAGGTTGGGTAGTTTCCATGGAAAAACAAGGCAGTTCCCATTTAAATTCTCTATCATCTAAATCAAGAAGGATGACACTGGTCACACAGGTGTCAGAGCAATTCATCACCACCCTAAAAAGAGCCAGGCCCCTGGGTGGAGGAGGAAGTTGCCAGGCCCTGAGTAGGACAGAAGCCCAGGGAGAAGATATCCACTGTAGATGTGGACTGACCCCTCCCAGGTAGGACCTTTGAGGGGAATCCCTGATTTCTGCAGAGACGGCTCCGTGACAGCTGCAGCACGGAGCCTGGCAGCACAGGACAGGGAGACAGGGCCACAGCCCCCTCCCAATCCCCACTTCCAAGGCCAGGCCAGCCAACACCTTTCCCAAACACCCTCCAAAATGGCCTTTCTTTCCTGGAGGTGCAAATAGAACAAGGTCCCAGAGTACAGGAAGACGGGTGAGGAGAGAAAAGGATAAGGTATCACTCATTAAGACAAACCAAGACTAGCTTTTCAGCCTGAAAAAATAATCCGTTTAATTGAAAAATGTGGAGTATACTACCCCACTCTCCTAGATGAGGGGCTGAAGAGACCAGACCCTCTACATCACTTCATAGCCACTTCGGATACTCTTCACAAGGCAGCAGGCAAAGATAATTCCCAGGACCTAGAGGGAAAGACGGGGGTCGTGAGGAGTCAGAAGGACAAGGTACCCCCAACCACCTAAGAGACCCAAACACACCCTGGGCTCCCCTCCCCAGACCAGTACCTCCTGCTCAGCACTCTCCTTCCCACAGCCCCTACGCCCCAGATGCCCTGGAATGAGTCTCAAGGGTGTCTCTCACCTCCACAAAGGCAATGCCCAGGGCTGCTGCAGCTACCACCAGCACATTGCTCCTCAGCCAGACCCCAATCTTCTCCACACAGCCCTGAAGGGGGGCAGGCACACAGGGCAAGGACATGAGAAACTTCCCACCCCCTCCCCTGGTCCATTTGTCTCTCCGCCACCCTCTACATCTTTCACCTCACCCCTACAATTCCCAGATGTCCTCCCCATCCCTGATCCCCAACTTCTGAGCCCTGACTATGTCCACCTCTATCCCTGGTTCCGCTCACCTCTTGGGAAACATTTCCCAAGTTTCCCAAGCCCTCTGCTATCTCATTTTAGCCTCCTCCTTACCTCGGTATAGATGTCCTTCACTTTGAAATTAATCCCACAACCCTGAGTGACATTGATGCAGCAGGAGTCGGGGACACGGCCCTTGGGCTCAAGAGGGATGTTCCCCCAATCCGTGTAGTTAGCTGCCCCACAACACTTGAACTGGGGGGAAAGAAAAATATGGGGGGGAGGTTAAGTGAACCTCCACCTTCGATAATGAAGATAAGAATCTTATTCCCCCATCACCCCTGCTCCCAGCAACCCTACTCACGTTTTCCTGCATCCCGTCCAGGATCGAAACACCTGTGTGGTTCTGTTTGGGATAATTCTTCATCTGCTGCCGGAAGTCCTTATTAAATTCTGACATCACCTGGGAGTAGGAAAGTTGAGGTCAGAACTTGGAGAACCTTGGTCCCAGAACAGCCGGGCCTCTGAGACAGGGCCCTCCCTTTATTCCCTGCTTACCTTGTCTCTAAACACATAGCCAGCAATGGCTGCTGCCACTTCCACCAGCATGATAAGTGAAAGGAAGATGACAAACTGCAGGCACAAAGGACGAGAGTCAGGTTTGGAGTCTGGGTGAGAGGGGCCTGCTGTGGCCCAACCAGTGTCTGGGACACTCACCAAGGTTTTCCTCACCTACCCACCTCACTGCACCCACCCTCCTAAGGCCCCTCTACAAAAGTCCCACACCCCCACACTGGCCCCACAGCCCACTCACCGTGATCATAAGACAGTTGTTCTCCTTGCAGGCCCCACAGCAACCCACAATGGCCACCAGGAAGAGGAAGGCTCCCACTGCAATGATGACCACAAGCAGCACAGAGCCAGGAGTGGCCTCCTGGCTGATAGTCTGACTCAGGACATACTGGGCCGCTACACCCACAGCGATCAGCCCCACGGCACAGGCCTGCAAAGAGTGCAGGGTCAGGGTGGGACCAGACCCCCCAGCGCATCATGGTGGAGGGCTGAGGGTGTATCTGGGAAATAGAATAACCCCACCCAGGAGAGACAGATACTCGCCCCTCCAGGAAATCTGACTGGGGGAGGGGAATGACCCATCCTCGCCCACAGTTCGATCAAATGCCAAAAGAGAAGTTCCCAGAAAGCCTTGGTCCCAGGGCTCATATTCCTAACCAAGAGCTGCTTCCTAGGGGCCTCACGGGCTCCCAGAATTGCCTTCCCACTATCCTCGGTGCCTAACTCATCTGTATCAGCTGTGAATAGGGTGCCTTGGGCCAGCTGGGCCAGGGAGGAGACAGGGTTAAGAGCAGTGTGCCCCTCCCTGGACAAAGTGGCCTCTCAAGGCAGGAACCCAGGGCAGGACCAAAGTGAGGTGAACAGAGCCTCTCCCCACCTGAAATCAGCTGGAAGGAGTGAAGAGGGAAAATTTAATGGAGAGGGATGAAGAGGTGGAGAAGAGAGAAAGGACAGAGGAGGGTGGGGAGAGCAGGGTGGCCCTGTGGCATAGCGATAGCCATCAGCCGTTGGCTGGTTGCCCCACTGCCCCTATCACAAGTGGTTGGGTCACCAGACAGGAAGAGCCAGGAGGAGTTAGGGTGAGGTGCCGCACATCCAAGCTGACCACTCTCATCCATACCAGCCTCAGAGGTCTCTGAAGGCTGGAGGAGGAGATGGCCGTCCTGTCTTCGGCCATTCCCCAGGCTTTCCTTCCACATCTGGTCTCCAGCTGCCTACATTCTTCATTCCTCAACCCTCACACTACAAGCCAGGTCTCCCCGCAGCCTGCCAGCGCGCCCCCTTCATCCCGCCACCGCACTCACGCAAAAGGCCAGCAGAAAAACGTAGAGCAAGATCTTGACACATTTCATTCCTCCTTCCACCGCCATGGCTGCCGGGCCTGGGGCAGAGTGGGGGCAGCGGTATTAGAGCTGGCCGAGGGGGCCCTTGGTTTCCGGGCTCCCTGCCGGCCCTCGAAGCCTTCCTTGCCCGGCCCCCATTCCCGGCCCCGCCCACCCGGAAACCCGCGGTCAGATCCACGTCTCCCAGCCCCCTCTCCTCGCTGCCCGAAAGGGGTGGGGGCGACCGCGCGCAGCCCGGACCCGCCCTCCGCCCCCGCGGCCCGGGGCAGATCCGAGGGCGCGAGCAGGGGCTGAAGCCTGCCGCCCACCCTCCGCCGCCAGCCCCAGGCACTAAACACCTCCTCCCCGCCAGACCCGTTCCGAAAACGGTCCTCAGCCCAAGCCCGACCGCTGGTCACTTTCCCTGCGCTCTAACCACCCCCAAAATACAGGTTGGGCCCGCACCCCCACCACACGCCGCCCCGTCGGGGCCTCTGGAACTTTTCAAAGTTGCGAAGTTGCGAGGGCCTCGGAGCGGCGATAGCTTAACGGGTCTTCGGAGCCGGGGGCAGACCCGGAGGAGTGGGCTGCCAGCGACCCACCCCTCCGACAAGCAGCGGTCCTGACCTGCGGCCTCACCTGAGCTCCCAGAGGCTACGCGCTCCTCTCCCGCCGCCGCTCAGGGTCTCTCTAGCTGCGCCCCCCGGCTCCGGCCCCGCCCGCCGCGCGGCCCCGCCCCGGCTTTCAGCCCCAGCCCCCTCGTCCGCCCAGTGGCCACTGGCCTCCCTCATGTGACGCGCGAGCAGCTGGGGCCTGAGTCACCCGTCCGCCCTCCGAGGGAAGGGCCGAGCCCCACGCTGGGTCAGGGCCACGTGGGCCACGTGGGCCCCGACCTGGAAGGTAGCGCCCACCCCCGGCCGAGGGAGGGCACCAGGGGCAGGACCTCAGGGTTCCTAGGGCTCAAATGGCACCCCCAGCCCCGTGCCAACTGGGGTAGGAGAGCGGGACGCCTGCTTCTCCAACGTTCACGGAAGCAGAGCAGGCGTATGAGAGCCAAAGCAGGGACGAGTGCCCTGGCCGGGTGGCGGAGCTGAAGCAGGGTGACAAGATGTCTGACAGAGGCCTCCTCGTCCTCCACCCAGAGCCCACTCCCTTGCGAGGGCTCCATCTCTGCTCAAGTCCCACTCCATCCCTAACTGCAGAGGGCGCTGTCGCTCCCTGGGATCGGGCGGGGCCAGAATAAACACTTCCAGAATGTCCCCAGGCTCACATCCTGGGAGTCCCCCAACATTCTAGAGTGGGTGTTCCTGTCCCACTCTGTTAGTCCCTTCTCCGTTTTCTAGGACTGAGAAGGGGAGGAAACTCTTCTCCCAGTTACCCCACCCAGCCGGTCATGGTCCTTCCCAGTGGAGACCCTCCCTCTGGGAAAGGATTGGCAAGGTCTTGTGTTCCCACCACTCCTGGATCAGCCTGTCAGTGACAGAGGTGTGGGGACAGACACTAAGGAAGGCATGGCATATATCCCCTGGGTTCCCCCCTCTCATCCTAGTAGATGGCCCTTCTCATCCCCCAGGGCAAAGCCAGGTGAGGGTTGGTAGGGGCGGTGGCAGACTCAAGCTGCCTTCCTCCCATCTGTGCTACAGTGGTCCCCAGGAGGAGTTGTGTGAACAGGCCAAGGACAGAACCAGCCAGTACACTTCCACACCCCTAGCCTGGGCCCCACCCCTTAGGTTCCTAGGTTCATGTCTCAAACACTACTTCCTGAGTCTCCGTGTGTGTACACAGAGAAGGAAAGAAACTGAGAGCAAAAGGAAGGAAATCTAGGCTGGGCTAAGAGCCAGTTTCCAGGATCACAACCTTCTAGCAAGCCACACCAAGCCCATTCTGGACCTTTCTCCCCAATTATCACAGCAGACAGGCTGTGGAGGAGGATCGGATCAAAGACGCTGTAGAAAAGAGTATTCGAGGGTTTCTTGATTGTGCTGCCTGTAGATGCCAAGCATGTGTTAGGCACAGGGGTGGGAGGACAGTGGTCCTGCCCTCAACCAGCAAGCCCACACTGCAAACAGAGACAGAAACCTCTGATGTCAGCTGGATGAGCTCAGAGGGAGAGACAGGTGATGCCTCAGCCCAGGGAGGAAAAAGAAAAAATTAATTTCGCAGAAGTGGGCGGTACTCTCCGAAGTGACGTTAGGGAAGGAGCAAACTCTCAGTTCCAGGAAGGAGGGAAGACCAAGTGTAAACAAAGAGCAGGTCGCGACTCCAGCACAAGTCAGGACTGGGAGGCCCGAGTACTCAGGAAGGATGTGGTGAGAGATGTGCGGGAGCGAAGGTGGTCTGAAGTCAAGATTGAGAAACTTTAGACACGTAAAAACCAAGTACAGTGCTTGGTCTTTGCCTGACTCTTTGTCTGAACAAGCCAGCTGTGAAGAGATATTGAGGAACAACTGGGGAAATTTGCATATGAACTGAGAATTGGACGTGAGAAAATATTTTTCTTAGCTACGATGACAGTATGGTTATATAGGAAAATTACTCTTTTTTTTAAAGATGCATAGTAAAATATTCAAGGGAGAAATGCCACATCTGTAATTTGCTTTGGAATACTTCACAAAACACTAGGCAGAGCACAAAGGAGACAGCCTAGGTGATGGGATTATTGAAAACACGGAAGGCTGTGTTAAGTATGTTCTGAAGGCACTGGAGGATGGAGGTGGGAAAGGGAGTAAGTGGGATAAATGGTCATGGAAAAAATACAATAAAAATAAATTTTAAAAAATAAAGGCAGTGGGGAGTGGTGGGTGAACTATCTTGGCATCGGGCCCACATTGAAATGAGGTGGAACAAATGTCAGGTGGCCTGGAAGACAGCCGGGACAAAACTACCACGGTCCAACCAGGAGCTGATGAAGGCTGGAGCCACAGAGAGGAGGGAAGTCTGAGGGGGCATTTCAGGGGCAAATCAAAGGACTGCTGGACTGTGGGAGGGGGAGAGGAAGTAGGAAGAGTCCCAGATGACTCAGAGTGATACCCTTGCCCCCCACACACACACACCCTCCGGCTCCACCACCCCTCTGCCCCAGTTCAGCAGAAAGGCACGGTGGCCAAAAGTGTCCTCAGTGAGAGTGGTGCCATCTAAGAGCACATCGGCATTGGCCAGAGCCAGTGCAACGCAAAACACCTTGTAGCCACTGTGCGAGGCCTCCTGAAGCCCACGTCCATACAGGGAACCCAAACAACTTCTCCCCTCTACTCAGGGATCCCCAGGGCCCCCTGCTCTGCACCACTGGGAGGCGGCCTGCTCAGAAATGAAACTCACAGGTGCCCTGGTAGGAGACGGCCTGGAACTCAGAACTGCCACATCTACCACATGCAAAGATTAGGGCAGGGTGGGGTGGAGGATGAGGAGCGGGGAGGTGGTGGCACAAGGGAAAGGAGAGGAGGAAAGAGAAAGAAAGAGAAGGGCGAAGAAAAGTTGAGAGAGGGGTAAGGAGATAGAGGAGAGAACAGAGGAGGGTGGAAGACATGGGGGGACATGAGAGGGGAATGTGGGCATGAGGGAGAGGGATGAGAAGAAAGAGGAGGAGACCAGAATAGGAGAGAGAAAGGAAACGCAGGGTGCGTCTAGTGTTGGGGCCGTCTCACTGGGGAGGGTGGGAAGGGTAGTGGCTGGAACTTAATGTCAGGAAGGTGAGTCTGAATTAGGGGCCTGAGATTCAAATCTAGAGTCCCCGGGTTGGGATATGAGGAAGCATGGGTGCGTGATGGCGACCCCCAGCCTGCAGGGTTAGATTAAAACCTATGGCTCTGTGGGTGCTGCTAGTAGAAAGGCTCACGGACCACCCCAGCACAGGCTCCCCAGAGTCAGTGAAAGACCCCGATGTGCACCAGGGCTGAGTGGAGCCCCGAGAGGAAGATACCCCACACCGGTTCTGTGGGGACAGCAGCACTGAGGTACTGGTTGGTAGAGTCACGAAGGTGGCCAGCTGTGACTTCCCTCAGCTGTCTGAGCGAAACTAGGTCACGGGTCGCACTGTGGTACCCAGGAGAACATCATCATTGCCAGTCACCTTGCATCTTTGCTTCAAGGAAAGTTAGGCTTGGAGAGATTAAGCCACTCACTCAGAGGCAACGTGAAGGAAAGAACCAGGGTCTTGACACACAAACTCCAGTGCTGAGTGTACCAGGCACATTACCAGCAAGAAGCACCCTGAGATCAGAAGCCCTGGTGCGAGACAGGTTCTGCCCCTCATGCACCAGGTGGGGTGATTTTACTACACTCTCACCTTCCCTGAGCCTTCCTTTCCTCATCTCAAAGGAAGGTTGAGGATCACAGAAGAAATGAAGGGGACCACCCTGACTGGTGTGGCTCACTTGGTTGGAGTTTCATCCTATAACCAAAGAGTTGCAGGTTCAATTCCCGGTCAGGACATATACCTAGATTGCAGGTTTGATCCCTGATTCAGTCACATACAGAAGGCAGCCAATTGATGTTTCTCTTTCACATCAATGTTTCGCTCTCTCCCTTCCTCTCTCTTAAGAAAAAAAAGTAAAAATAAATACAAAGGCAAACAAATAAAGGCTATCAGTTTTGTTACCTTAAGAATAATAAAAATTGCCCTGGCTGGTGTGGCTCAGTGGATTGAGAGCCAGTCTGAGAACCAAAGGGTCACCAGTTTGATTCCCAGTCAGGGCACATACTTGGGTTGTGGGCCAGGTCCTGGGGGTGGGCAAGCATACAAGAGGCAACCACACATTTTGATATGTTTCTCTCCCTCTCTTTCTTCCCCCTTCCCCTCTCTCTAAAAATAAATAAATAGATAGATAAATAAATAAATAAATAAAATCTTTAAGAAAAGAATAAAAGCTTCATCATACCCTATTTTTAGACATATGGAAATTAAAATGATTTTACTTTGGGAAATATCTGGACTCCACCCTTCTTAAGGTGGCCAAGGAAAGGGTTGAGAGGGGCAGTCTGGCCTCCCTCACCCTCTCCTACCCAACCCAGCCTTAGCCCGGAGCAAGCTCCTGTTCCGGCCCCACCCGGCACCACCCCGCTGCTCTGTCCTCAGTGCTCTGTCTTCCTTCTTGCCCTTTTCCTTTCCCCTACTCCTTGGGCCCCCAGCCCCTGACTTCTGTCCCCATGTTCTCCTCACCCTTGCCTGGTTCCTGTCCCAGCCTGTTCCCAGCCAGTGCCACTGTTACCAATGGGGTCAATCCAGACGGCCGGCTGGTGACTGAGCTGGGTGGGCAGCTCCAGCCCATGGCCTCCTAGTGTACGGCTGGGATCAGGAGCCCAGCTGTGTGTGGTTCCAGTCCAGGACTGACTCAGGCATACAGCAGTCTCCACTGAGAGCCACAGACCCACATAACCAAGGTTTCTCCTGGGGTGGAGCGAAGATGGACACGGGAGAAATGGGAAAGAGGTGATGCTGGGGCAGGACGGTCACCTCCGGTTTCTGTGCCATGAGGTTGAGAGGAACAGAACGTCTACCTAACCAGGGGCTGAGGAAGAAACCATTCATTCACTCATTCGTCCATCCATCCATGCACCCGTTTATGGAAAGCCTGACACCCCAGGCACTGGGGCTATATCGAGGTGCATAAGGCATGGCCTTTCCTTTAAAGTGATTACAATCTGTAGGCACAGATTTTAAAAGGCAGTGAAGTAGCCCTGGCTGGCGTAGCTCAGTGGATTGAGCCCGGGCTGCAAACCAAAGTGTTGCAGGTTCGATTCCCAGTCAGAGTACATGCCTGGGTTGCAAGCCA